CCTGCAATACAGAAACATCTAAAGAATCTTTTTGTGGAAGAAGGAAATTTTTCCATAAGGAAGATCTGAACTACACGAAGGAAATAGTAACCATGTGGTTTGGTGATCAAGAAAATAATGATATATTCAGGAGGAGCTGACCAGACACGAAGTGTTCTAAAGCCCTTTTGTGTCTGGAAGGAGGGTAAATACTGCATTAACTTTAGACTTTATCAAATTAAATATACATATTAAAATGTCTTGGATAACCACTGAAAGACTAGAAATAAAATGTGTAATTCCCAAGCCAGTAGTGGGCAAAAAAAGAATGAAAAAGAAAATTGATCAATTCTAAAAAAGGCAAGAAAGGAGAAAAAAACATGAAGTTTGACCCTTAGCAAGCACAAAAATAAGATGGTTTATATAAATATGTCATAATCATACATTTGTAAATAATTGTTTTAGAAAATTCCAGCCATATAGTGTTTATAAGAGACACACCTAAAATATATGGAGACAGGAAGGCTGAAGGTAAGAGGAAGAAAAAGTTAAACCAGGCAAAGAAGGAACAGAGCTGGTGTAGCTAAATTCATATCAGACCAACTTGACTTTAAGGCAAAGGTATTACTAGAGATAAAAAGGGCTGCGACGGAAATCACAAAGGGTCAGTCCACCAGGTTTAGGAGCAGATATTATATGCATAGGCTTAAGAAGGAATCACCCTCTCCTTCATGAATTGCTTTAGAGTTTAAAAGGCTCTTTGGCATTTATTTGTTAAACATCTGACTCTCACATCAAAGCGTGAGACAGTAGAGGAGGTGTTACCACCTCCCTTTTACAGATAAGAAGCTGAAACTGAGGTTGACAGAGTTAAAATTTCCCTGGACTAGGGTGAAACTGTGCCTTGTACCCACAAGGTTAACGAGGGAAACAGAATAACCCAAGTTTCTGAGCTTGCCTTGCAGAACAGCCGGACCGCTGATAAGAGAGGAACTTGGTAACAGCCCCCTGCCTGACTAAGCCTCTTGCAGGAACATTGAGAAGCTAAAATGACTGACTATAAACTTTAGATGTCAAAGACTGAAAATCCACCACATGCAACACATAGAACAGACAGTCACACCTGTGCCGAGGACTCTTAGAACTTCAGCCCCCAAGGCCACATGCTCCCCCTCCCCTACCTAAAACCCCAAATAAAAACCCTGTTTGTAGCTTTTCCAGGAGTTCGGGATTACAGCATTAGCTGCCGGTTCTCCTTGCTCAGCACTTTGCAATAAAATTCCTATTTTCTTCCACTACACCCAGTATCAGAGATTGGCTTGCTGCGCTAGGGGTGAGCGAAGTCGAAACTTCAGGTTCGATATAAAACCTGAGGTTCAGAGAAGTTAGGGACTTGCCTAAGGTCACATAGCAGTAGAACTCATCTTGATCACAGGTTTTCTGACTCCCGGCCCAGTGCTCTTTCCTGTCCCAGCGGGTGTTCAGAAAGGAGAAAGCATCCACTCCGGACAGAGGGAGGAAAGGGCACGGACAGCAGGGCTCGGCGGCGAACAGCACGAGCAAAGGCTTGGCCGGTGGAGAGTGCCTAGAAGGAAGCGTGATTGGGCCAAGCACACAGCACGGAGACGAGGGGTAGGGTGGATTCCAGCCAGTTTCGGAGGGACCAGAAGGCCAGCAGAGTTCTGTCTGTCTTGCATGTGCAAGAAGTTTGCACAAGGCCACGTGCCTCGCCACCGATGCGTGGCGCCGGGCCAGAGCCCTCGCGGAGGACCAAGCGTCCCCGCGGACGCCCCCCGCCCGCGCTCTCAGCCCGCGCGCTCGCGCAGACACCGGCGGCCACGCTCACGACTCGGGGCGTGGGGGCGCCCCGGGCACCTCGAGACAGCAACGGGGCGCAGGCCGGGCACGCCCTCGGACGTTCCCCCTCCCTCCCCCACCTGCCTGGGTCGTTAGCCGTGCCGCCCGCCCGAGATCCCCTCTAGGTTCAAATTCGACTACGTGAAGGAGGACCCGAGGAAGACACACGCACTGGGGGACAGGTCCAGGAGGGCAGCAAAACTGACCGCAAGTTCTGGGGGAGGTGGAGGGAGGCTCTGCTGTCCTGAATTGGACGGATGAGTGTGGAGTGGTGAAGGGGCAGACAGGTGGGGGGTGAGGAGCAGATAGATGAGCCCAGGCGGGGGTGGGGGGTGGGGAGCATTGGGGGTAGGAAGGGATACTGTGGGCTGAGCTGTCTCGAGTCTCCTTTGGAAGGAGGTGGGGGCGGGGTGGTCCTGGTTAGGAGCATGCGCTGTGGAGTCAGCCCCCCAGGGTGGCTTCTCTGCACCGCTGACCAGCTGTGGGGCCTTGGACTGGGCAGGTAGCCCCTTTAAGCTCCAGTTTTCCTCATCTCTAAAACAGGGGACCTATTTTTTAGGGCTGCGGTGCTGCATGATGCCTAACAGGGTTCAGTCGTTCATTTAACGCGGTGAATAAGCCCCTGTTATGTGCCAGGTACTATTCCATGTGCTGCGAACACGGCAGGGAAGAGAGGCAGTGGCTCCTAGTCCACTGGAGAGAGAAAAGCAAAGACGGATTTCTTCAGTCTGTAGGTGGTGGTAAGCCATGGAGAAAAGTCACGCAGGATAAAGAGAGGAGGGAGTGGGGAGGGTGCTGCGGTCAGAGAGCGTGGTCAGGGAAGGGCTCCCCGTGATGTTTGAGGCAGGACTTGAAGGAGTGAGAGAGAGAGGGAAGGAGTGCCAGGCAGAGGGAACAGCGAGTGCAAAGGCCCTGAGGTGGGAACACACACATGGCATTTTGGAAGAACAGGGAGGAGGCAGGTGTGTTTGGAGCAGAGAGAGCAGGGGAGAGGAGTAGGGATGAGGTTGGTAAGGTAACCGGGAGCCAGGTAATGTGGGGCAGGCGTCAGCAAGCTTTCTTAAAGGCCAGAGAGTAAATGTTGTAGGCTTTGTGGGCCATAGGGTCTCTGTTACAACGACTCTGCCATTGTATGGAGAGAGCAGCCATAGACCAGCCATAAACAAATAGACGTGGTTCCAATAGAACTATATTTACATAATAAACAGGGTCCTGATGTAGGGCTGTGAAGCCTTTGTTGAGGATTGAGTGGGTTGGGGAGGGTTTGGGGGTGTTTGAGTTGACTCTGATCTGATTTCAGTGTTCACAGGACTACTCTAGCCACTGGGGAGTAGACTGTCAGGTGTGGGGATGGGGGCAGAAGCGTGGAGACCCAGTTAGGAGGTAAGAGGTGATGGTCGCTTGACTTGGGGAGGTGGGGATGAGGTGGTGAGCAGGGGGCAGATTCTGGACGTCTCTGGCAGGTATAGCTGATGGGATTAGCCAATGGATTGATTGCACGTGGTGTGAGGAGCGGCATCAGGGTGGCCCCAGGATTTCTCCCTGAGCCACGGGGAAGCTGGAGCTGCCATTCTCAGAGAAGGGGAGGGTAGGATCTGCATTAGACAGTCTGAAGCTGAGATCACCGGATTTGGGCATCAGGGAAGGGAGGGCCGAGCCCGGGGCCTCCAACACTCAGAACTCAGGAGGAGAGGAGGAGCCAGCAGAGGAGACGGGGAAAGAGCAGCAGGCAGGAGGGAGGGAACCCGGGAGGGAGTGTCCTGGAGTTGAGGGAGCGAGGGCCCTGAGGAGCGCGAGAGGCCACAGTGCTGCTAACGCTGCCGCCTCAGGAAAACGCAGGGCTGAGACCTGGCCCGGGGGGTGGCACCGGGAGGCCGCCTGGAGGACAGCAGCTTTGGGGTGGGGAGCCCGACTGCAGTGAGATCAGCAGAGGCGGAGGTGGGGAACTGGGATCAGGGTGTGATGAGAAGGAGAGAGATGGCCTGGACCTGGAGGTGCAAGAGGAGAGGGTTTTGTGTTTTTTTGATGTTTTTGCTTTTTGTCTTTAAAGATGGAAAAAATAACCACCTGTTTAAGTGCTGGTGGGAATGATTCAGTGAAGAAGGGGGACGTGTTGGTGATGGGGAGGGGACTTGGTGAATAGTATCTAGGAGGGAGGGGGAGGGGGCTAGAGCCGGATCCTCCGGATCCTCCTGCGGCCTCTGTGCCCTAGAGAGAGAAGGTCGTGATTTGGGGGCGGGGCCATCAGTGCAGTTGGAGGGTTTTCTTTGACCAGCGTTGTGATTTCACTGAGCGAGTGTGGCAAAGGGGGGGAGCCGAGGGTGTGCACAGGGGGTGATTATAACACTGCAGAAGGAGGGGAGAGAGACATCAAGGGGCGAGGGACAGTCAAACGTGGTGGGGTCAGAGGGTGGGGGTCTCATGAATTGGGACACTAAAGGCAGTGAGCTGGAAAGTTGGGGTGGGCTCTGAAACTGAAATTTTCAGTTTCAGCAGGAGGGGGTGCAGCTATTAGGATGACAAACCCTGGGGGACCGTGGGAGTGGATGGCTGAGGTCGGGTGAAGGGCAAGGTGGTGGGAGGGGAGAAGGTCAGGGACCCCACAGGATGGGAGTTGGGGGACCGTCTGTGTGGATGGAGAGATCACCAAGGACTTAGACAGGTGTGTGCTGGAGAAGGTGACAGCGAGCCAGCAGCTGAAATCTTTCAGGAGTGAGTGACATGACCTGAGCTTCCTGGAGCCTAGGACAGGAGAGTTTAGAGAGGAGGGAGGCAGAAGGGTCGGAAATGGCGACAAGAAGCAAAGAGGGCCCCACCCCTCCTCTGGGCCCAGTGGTCTGAGAGGAGAGCCCCCATCTGAGAGGGCTGCCCGAGAAGCAGGGTCCACAGGGGACGGCTGGGATCTGTAGCCAGTGTTAGAAGGAGCGGGCCCTGGAAGACACGAGAAAATTACAAGGGAAAGGGTGGTACAGGGGGCGGGGAGAGGGACCCCAAGGGGCGTGACCAGGACACCTGGAGCTGGGCCCTGGGGCAGCCAGGGGTGCTGGTGAGGGTGGGGGTGGGGATCTGTTCTCACCCTCCAGAGCCCATCCCATCAAACAGGCCAGACCGCTGGCTGTGGTGCAGACCAAGGACGCTGCCATCCTGGCTTTGCCCTGGACGCCATGGAGCTGAGACCTGACACCAGCCACAATGAGAATTTGCCCCTCAGGCCTGCAAGCCCCCTGAGGCCAGGCAAGGGGCTCAGTGGGTCTGAGTGGGAGGTGGCAGGAGCAGGGTGCCCTCTAGGTAGTGGCCCAGAGCTGCTTTCCCCTCAGGTCAGCCCAGGGCCCCGCTAATTCCAGAGATTAGCTGTGCAGAACCAGCCGGGCCTGGGCAAGGTCTTCCCAGGCTGGGGCCGAGGGAGGGTGGGGAAGTCAAGGAGTGAGGTCAGGAGGAGGAGGGGCTAGGAGTGGGCCTGGCCAGGGCCCCTGGCTGAGAAGGGGGCGGTGGGCTGGGGAACCTCCCTGCTCAGGGACCTGGGGCCTTGAGGAGGCCACAGAGCTGGTGCAGCCAAAAGTGGGAGCAGCCCAAGAACAAATTCAGATTCCCATTCACACGCCAGTTCTCTCTGTGTTCTAGCTGTGTGACCCTGGGGCAATTGCTTAACCTCTCTGAGCTTTAGTTCCTATCTACAAACTTTTATGGCCCACTCTACCCGCCAGGACCTCACCAGCCCCCAGGAGGCCTCGTCTCCCGAGCTGTGGAATGGCCTTGGGGGCTGGGGAGACCAGCAGAGAGGGAGGGGCTCTGAGCACCACCACCCCACCCCCCGCCCCGTCCCCTGAGCCTTTTGATATGTTGGGTCTTGCTTTCACCCCCAGCTGCTGCCCGCCATCACCTCTGTGCTCAGGCTGGAAATCAGGGGGTCACCCTGGACTCCTCTTTCCTCACCCCCTCTTTTCAGCCTCCACTTCCACAGCAGATCTGAATCTGCCTCCTTCTCTCTGCCTGCCCTGCCACCTCTGATCCCAGCCCTGTCATCTCTCACCTGGGACCCCCTCACCAGCCTAACTATCTCCCCGCTTCCTCTGCCCTCCTCTCAGCCCCTGCCCGGCCCTGCTCCATGCAGCCAGGCACCCGCTCAGACCACGTCACTGCTCTTGCTGAAGACCCCAGGCACTGCCCATCGGTCCACCCGGGAAGACAGAGCTAACAGAGACCCCTGAAGTTCAGGCTCCCTCCCACCTGGGGCCCTGTCCCTCCCGGTTCTGAGGCCTGCTGGGCCCCACCTATCCCACCTGAGCACTGACTACAGAATCCTCCCCCAGGGCATGACTGTCTCTCCTCTCTCTAGAGCCACGTGGACTCCTGAAGAGCCTGAGTGTCAGCCTGGGCAGTGGACATGGCAGGTGCCAGGCCAAGAGAGGAGGGCCTGTCGCCACACCCTCCCCAGGGGCAGTGCTTTGCCAGGACCCCTGCCGAGTCCAGACCAACCTGGCCAGCCCCGGCCCCGGCCTGGGCCTTGCTCTGAAGGACACGACTGGCCGGCTGATCAACTCAAGCTTCCGGCAGCAGAGCAACCTGCAGCCCCTGGCTGGGAGGCCCCACAGGAAAGCCCCAGAGTTTGCCGGCCAGCAGAGTAACCTGAGCATAAGGGAGACCAGCTTGGCCAAGTGTGGAAGTCATGCCAGCCCCCATCTCTGGTCGGAGCCTCAGGAAAGCTTCCGGCCCCACATGATGGCCCAGGGAAGCCCCCTACCCCGAGGACCACTGGCTCACCCACCCTCCAGCCTGAGGCAGTCCTGGTGGCTGGCCTCAGACACCCCCTGCCAGGGCTTCAGGCCAGCTGCAGGCTGTGTCCTTCTCAGTGGTTGCACATGGCCAGGCCCCAGATCCTGGTGTGGCCTGGGGAGCTGGACCTCCAGGCTCACGGGGGAACCCCTCACCCTGAAGGACCTGGCTGTCCCTGTGCAGAGCCAGGCTCAGGCCCCATCCCAGGCTGCTGTCTGCCAGCTGTTGGCCTCCGTGCGGCGCCTGGAGCACAAGGCAGCCCGTCTCGGGTGCCGGGCATCCCAGGAACCCTCGGGCCCTTGCCGTGGCCGGGCACTCGCTGCTTGCCCCCAGCCCGGCCTGCCTGTTCTTGCTTCCCGGGATAAGAGGAAGAAATACCCTCGAGGTCTCAGGGAAACCGAGGATTCCCCAGAGACCCCAGGGGCCCAGGCTGATCTCTCAGACTCTCAGGCAAGCAGTAAGCCTGCATCGCTAGAGCCCACGTTGGGGATGCTGACTGGGGACGTCCTGGATCCTGAGCAGGGCGTCCTCCCTGCCCACCCCCTAGGACGGGGAGGGAACTGCTCCCCAGAGACTGCATTCAGCAGCGGGTGGAGGGGGGAGCCCCTGCTTCCTCGAGGGGCTGGCAGCAGAGGGGCCAGACTCTGCTCTTCAGCCTTCTCCCACGCAGCCTGGGGCGTCCTCCCTGGGCGGGAAGGAGGGGAGGGGGCCCCGAGGGAGCAGGTCAGCAGGAAGGAGGAGAGGACGGCTTCCAGTCCCCCAGACACGGCCCCGGCGAGGGGTGCCCGGCAGGTGAGGCCAGAGGAGTCTGGGAGCAAAGTTGGGGGGCTCCAGGGGGCCCCACTGCCTCCTCCCAGGAATTCTCACTCCAAGCTGGTTGTCACTACGCTGTCACACCCCCTTCCCCAGAAAGGGAGGCCCTGGGCGGGCAGGCTCAGCAGAGCGCGTCCTGTCCTGCTTGCTTCCTGGCCTGAGAGCTGTGTCGCGTCCTTAGATTTCCAAGAACAAAGCCAGAAACATTGTGAGCCTGGAGCCTGAGAAAGCTGGGTGAGGCCGGGGGCTGTGGGGTGGGGGGCCATGTGCCTGGGGGAATGGAGATGAGGGCCCGATAGAGATAGGGCCCTGCTGGCAGATCCCCAGAGGATTTAAGGGGAGGGAATGTCCTTCACGCTGTCCCTGCTGGGGAATGAGGGGCCTCCTGGGCCCAAGGACAGGAACGTGGGGACGGCTGCTGCTGGGAATCTTAAACTCCTAGGGCCGCCCTGTACTCTCAGCAGTCAATTGGGGCATGCTCCTGCCTAGGGGCTCTCTTGTCCGGGATTTCGAGGCTAGCCATCAGTAGAGGGGTGTCTTTCCAGTCTGCAGCTAGTCCTTCTGCTGCAGTGTGGAGCATCACTCCCGTCATTGCTGGAAAGGCAACATGGGTGGTGCCCAGCCCCCAGCTGCTCCCTGGGGCTGAGGGGCTGGGCCCACCCCCTGATCAGCCCTGGTCCCTCCCCAGCTGGCAGCTGCTGTCCAGATGTTTCAGAGCCTGGAGGGGCGTGGTGCGGAGGCGGCAGGCAGTGGCAGCGGCGCTGGCGCTGGGCCGCCAGCAGCTGTTGCGTAGGGGCCTGCGAGCGCTGCGGTCGGCACTGTGGCTCCGGGAGGCCCAGCTGGAGGTGGCGTGGGGACGACGCACACAGGCCCTGCTGGCCCGGAGCTTCCAAAAGGTCAGGGGCCTCCAGGTTGGGTCGTGCGTAGGTGACAACACACTGGTGTGTCTGGGGAGGAGGCTCTACTGGGGCCCAGGTTGTACCTCCTGAGTGCTTGGCAGTAGAGGGGATGGTTGTCAGCCCAGATGCCTGAACCAGCTCTGCCTGAGTTCAAATCCTGTCTCTGCCTTTTTTTTTTTTTTCACACTTTCTCGCTGTGGGACCTTGGACAAGTTACTTAACCTCTCTGTGCCTTAGTCTCTTCAGCTCTAAAATGGGATAATAATAGTACATACCTCTCGGGGTTATTGTGAGGTTAAATTAATAAATATAAAGAACTTAGAACCCTGCCTAGCACATAGCAAGCACTCTACCGTATAAATGGTTGCTATTTTTCACTAGTGGTTTGCCAACCAGGACTGGAAGGGCACTTCTGTGTTCTTTTCTCCTTGGGAAGAGGATGCTGTGGGAGGGCCCAGCTCCAGATTTTCTCTCCCAGGGAAAGCCCTGTCTCTTGGGCTCCAACTTTCCATTCATGCATTCATTCCAAAGAGGCAGGGTAGTCTAATGGTTAGGACCACAGGCTTTAGAGTCTGACAGAAATGTTTGACTCCTGTCCCTGCCCCTTCCTGGTGCCCCCTCTTGGGGCACATTCGAGGCTGCAGCCAACATCGCTTTTGCCCTTCTCTCTTGACCCAGTGGAGAAACCTGACTCAGCAGGAGAAACGGGGGCAGCCCCACGTCCAGGCTGGGCCAGGACCCCCACCCTCTGAGGGAGGCCAGGGCCGAGGTCCCTCGGGAAGGAAGCCAGCCGTGGACCCCGCCCCGAGAAGCAGGTAGTCTGGGACACCCCAGGTTGGTTGGTGTGGCCCGGGCAGTGCTGGTGGCTTCCCTCCTTGTCCCCCATATCCCCTCCCCCACAAGAGAATGAGGACGAAACCAGCAGATGTGGACAAAGATCTGTGCAAAAGGATGTCCATCACGGCATTATTTATACTCATAAAACCTTCAGAACAGTGTCAACGCCCAGCAGTGAGAGAGGAAATCGTGGTTTAACCATGAGATGGACATTTCACAACCATTCAATATCATGTCGATCAAGACTTTAAAAATTCCTCCCCACTCTTTTCTTCTTTATTTTTCATTTCAATATCTTTATTGGTGTTGTTTCTAATCATAACAGTAATGCATGCTTGATTTGAAAAACATTCAAAACAATGGGGAGTACTGTATATCAACTAACCTGGAAGTTCCCTGCCCATGGATCCCCCTTCCTGGAAGCAGTTTTATGGATATTTGCATAGAATTTTTAATGACAAGGAAAAATGGCTATGACAATGTTAAATGAAAAAAAAAGAACCATAAAAAACAGTATCCAAGGTATTTTTTCTATGAATGTAACACAGTACATAGAAAAAAGACCAGAAGGAAAAATGCTAAAGGGTGGCACAACAATGTGAATTACTTAACAACAGTGAATTACTAAACTGTTCACTTAAAAATGGTTATGATGGTGGATTTTATATTATGTGTATTTTACCACTATTAAAAATAAAAATAAATAAATATTTCGTCCCCCACAAAATGCTAAAATGCGAATAGTGCTTCTCTCGGGAGCAGTGGAGTTAAAGCTGGTTATTTTCTGTTTCATTTCCTCCATTTTCCGTTACAGTGATGCATTGTTTTTGTGCTTATTTTCAAATTAAACAAATGTGTTTAAAATAATTTTTTAAATAATATTTATTTTAATACATGTGTGTTGTAAAAAATCCAAATACTGTTGAAGAGAGTGAAGCAAAAGCAGATCCCCCTCCCCAGTCACTGATGTAATCAGGAATAAATGAACTGTCTGGAAGAGAACGGGGGTGGCTCAGCACACCTCTGCTCCTGCGGGCGGACGACACCTGCCTGGGGCTGGGGAGGACAGGGTGGGACAGTGTGCCCTCCCTCGGCCTGGGCATCGGTTTCTCTGAGCAACTTCTCTCTCAGCCCAGGAAGTCTGAGGGAAGAGGCAGGAGCCTGGTCAATTCCACTGCGTTCTGGGCTGAGACCAGACGGAGGAGACGGGGGCATCCAGATCCTGCAGGCTCTGCAACAACCGGCTGGTGAGATGTGGGGCGCTGGGAAAGCGGGGGAGACGGAGACGGAGCCCCCACACTGGACAGGGCAGGGGGTCCTGAGTGAAGGAGTGTTTTTGAGCATCTACTCTGGCAACTGCCGGGACACATTCTCATTTGAGCCTCATGGTGACCTCGGCAAGGCGTTGTGCCCATTTTACTGATGAGGAACTGAGGCACAGAGACATTCATGACCAGCTCGAGGACACGCAGAATGAGAGGTGCACATCTTGCATTTGTGTGCCATTGACGCTGGTACAGGCCTGGCAGAATCTTGAGTGTTAGAACTGGAAAGTCCGTTAACATCACTCACTCATGGGGAGACTGAGGCCCTGAGACAGGGAGCAACTGGCTGGAGGCCACACAGCCTGGGGTCCCAGGTGTCAGTGGACTCTCTCGGCCCTGATCCTCCCCTCTGCTCACTCTCTTCTCTCTCTCCTCCCTCCCTTTACAGTCTCCCTCCTGTGGCGCCATCAGAAGGAATGGGCCAGGCGGGAGAAGGGGCTCCAGGGAGAGGCCTCCCAGGCCACACAGAGGACTCAGAGGATGGGGAGGTGCTCTCCTGCTGCCCTGGGCACCCAGCCCCAGGGAGCCTGGCTCTGCAGGTGAGACAAGTGTGGGAGTGGGGACCCCCCACCCCGAGGCAGAGGGTGGGATGCAGCTGGGAGGTGCCCTTAAGTCAGCTCTTGATTCCTTCTAGTATTGAGAGACAACGATGAAAATAAGAAATGCAACAGCTGCCGTTCACTGAGAGCCTAAAACATGCTCGACAGCACCCCAGGGGCTGGGACTCGATTATGAGCAAAGCTTAGTGCCGGCCGTCACCGCCCTCATGGCACCCATGGCTGGGTGGGGGACAGGCAGGAAACCAGCAGTCACAAAGGGCGTGTGTGAATGTCCCCTGAGTGAACTGTTGTGAAGGGAAGGAACACAGATCTATAAGAGTTTTCTCTTTCCTCATTCATCACTTTGTATTCTGGGACATTTGTATCTTACACAAAAGTAGAGAAAATAGGATACTAAGCCCAGGTACCCATCATTCAGCTTCAAGAAAATCTCCTCCTGAGAAAACCTGTTTCCTCTGTACCCAACTACTTCCCCCTCTACGTTATTTTGAGGCAAATCCCACCCATCATACCATTTCATCTGTAAATATTTCTGTAGCATCTCTAAAGGATGAGGCCTATTTTAAACCACGTAACCACAATACCACGATCACACTTAAAAAATGAACAATAATTCCTTAAGACCAGCCAATAGCTGGTCAGCATTCAAATTTTCAAGTGTTTTATGAGCATATATTTTATTTGAATTGGGATCTGAATAAGCTCCACATGTTGTAAGTGGTTGCTGGGTCGTTAAAGTCTTACTAAGCCCTGGGCTGCCCTCCGTGTTTTTCCTTGCAATTTATCGGTTGAAGACACCAGGTTGCTGGTCTGGTAGAGTTTCCCGGGTCTGCATTTGCTGATTGCATCCCCCTGGGGTAGTTTTCTCTGAGGACTGTGAACAAAGGGAGCTGACCTCCACCAGGGTTCAGCGGAGATGTGAGGATGAACGGTTGACTAGCGGAGGGAGAGTGAACAAGAGAGCACCAGGCAGAGGGAACAGTATGTGAAAGGCCTGTGACAGGGGGACAGAGAAAACTCCAAGAACAGCGGTCAACTTGGCGCCATTAGTCGGGGGCGGGGGCCCCGGCGTGGTTTGAGATGAAGTTGGAAAGATGTGGGGGCGGGGCAGATCAGGCATGGCCCTGTAAGCTGTGGGGAGGAGTTGAAATTTTATCATAAGAGCAAGGGGGCTGCCTCTGGAGGATTCTGGCAGGGGAGTACAATGGTTTGATTTGAGATTTGAAACAAATCACTCTGGTTACCGAGTCGGAACTGACTGGAGGGGCCAAGAGTGCATGCGGGAGGCAGGGAGGAGGCTGCTGAGGCCATCCAGGCAGCCAGGGGTGATGGTTAGAGCAGCCCCATTTCACGGATGAGGAAGTCGAGGCTCAGAGAGGTGACGTGGCTTGCCCACGGAGTGTGCCTGGCAGGTGGCAGGCGGCTGTGGCTGCAGTCATTACCTTTGGCACTAACACTCTCTCTCGGCTCTCCCAGGTGCTTTGGGGCCTGGCAGCGGTTGGTGAAAAGAGGGGCCCGGTACCGTGACCACATGGCCAACCGCCGGGCAAGGACCCTGAGGACGTGCCTGCAGCAGTGGATGCAGATGAAGTGGCTCCGGGCCTCAGAAAGGGCGAAGGTGACTCAGCTGTCCCTCTGCTGGCAGAAGGCAGGTGAGTGAGTGGCGGGTGGAGGGGCTCGCTTTCCCTTCCACCCCAGCAGACAGTGTCACTTAAGCTGCTTCTGCAGTGGGCCCGGTTGAGGTTATGGGTTCTTGTGATGGAATTGGGAGCTTTCTCGGTGGTGCAGCCTGGCAGGCCTGGGAGGGCCCTGTGGGGGTCCCTGGAGAGGCAGGCCTTCATTGGGCACCATCCTCACCCCCATGGTGAGCTCTTCCAGGCTAGAGACTGTTCTGTCTCCCTCCAGGAAGGGATGGGCTCCCTGCTCTCGGGAAGCTCCTGGTCTGAGGGGGACACACAGCCCCTGCCCCCACCCCAAAACCTGACGGGGAAGATGGGATCTCTGAGGTGTCCTGGAGGGGAGGGTTTGGAGGCGGCGGGAGGGGGCAGTGCCCATGAGGGGAGAGGTCCTAGGAGGGGCTTGGGGCAGAGGGAGCTCACTGGGGACGTGGCTGACTTATCCCTTGATTGCTTCTCAGGGAACATGGCACTCTGCAGCTCAGCCCCTGGAGCGGCCACAGACCATGGCCTGGGGGTGGTGGCCCAGGCCCCGGGGCTGCCCCAGGAGCTAGGCCGGGGCTCCCTGCAGGACGCCTGCCCGAGGCTGGCCCTGCACCCTGCACTGCTGCTCTGGAGGACGCGGCTCTTCCAGCGCCAGAGGGCTGAGTAGGTGTCTACGAGCCTGTGGTCTGGGGTAGGGCCTGGGGGGCATGGAGTGGGTATGTGAGCAGTGCTCAGCACTGGGAGGAGTGTCCCATAGGGAATGGGCCATGTCCTGCTCCTCCCTGTGGCCCCAGTATGAGGCCTGGCACACTATGGTACCCAGTGGGTCCAGGGCTGGAGAGGTGGCCCAGGGACACTGAGACAGCGATTGAGCAGAGAGCCATGGGGTCCGTGGCACGGCCTGGGGCACAGACATGGCGTTCTACCAGGGTGGCTGGAACCTGATGGGGAAGTTGGTTTAATGCTGTCCTCCCCAGAATCCAGAACTGCCTCGTGCCCATCTCCAGCTCGGTGGGAGCCCCCTGGTGGCAGGAACCATGCCTGTCTCCCAGCACCCTGCAGGTGCCTGGCATGCCGTAGGCGTGGAATAGACACTGTGAAAGAACAGGTGGAGGAACCACGGAGCAGCACTCTCATCCTCCTGCCTCCATTTGCCTCCTTGTTCAGCTAGAGAAGCTGAGGCTCAGAGGCTCTAAATCCTGCTGTGAGTCAGGAGCAAGAAGGGCCCTGTAGTGAGACCTTCTCGGTGCTGCTTTTCCTCAAGATGGTCATTGCTGGGGTTCAGAGCCCAGGCTGATGGTTGTGGGTGAGGTGGGTAGTGAGGGTCAGGAGGGGCCAGGTTCCCTGACGGGATGTCAGGAGGAACTTAAGCCAGCAGTTGCAGGGTTTAGAATTCTATCTACAGCCAACATCATACTTAACAGTGAAAAGCTGAAAGCCATCCCTCTGAGAACAGGCACAAGACAAGGGTGCCCACTCTCACCACTCCCATTCAACATAGTACTGGAGGTTTTGGCCAGAGCAATTAGGCAAGAAAAAGAAATAAAAGGTATCCAAATTGGAAAGGAAGAAGTGAAACTCTTGCTGTTTGCAGACGACGTGATTCTATATATAGAAAACACTAAAGAATCCACCAGAAAACTGTTAGAAATAATCAACAACTACAGCAAAGTTGCAGGGTACAAAATCAACTTACAAAAATCATTTGCATTTCTACACACTGATAACGAACTAGCAGAAAGAGAAGTCAAGAGTACAATCCCATTTACGATCACAACAAAAAGAATAAAATATCTAGGAATAAATTTAACCAAGGAGGTAAAAGACCTATACACTGAAAACTATAAGACATTATTGAAGGAAATCAATGATGACATGAAGAAATGGAAAGATATTCCATGCACATGGATTGGAAGAATAAACATAGTTAAAATGTCCATATTACCTAAAGCAATCTACAGATTCAATGCAATCCCAATCAGAATCCCAATGATATTCTTCACAGAAATAGAACAAAGAATACTAAAATTTATATGGAACAACAAAAGACCCCGAATAGCCAAAGAAATCCTGAGGAAAAAAACAAAGCTGGAGGCATCACAATCCCTGACTTCAAAATATACTACAAAGCTACAGTAATCAAAACAGCATGATACTGGCACAAAAACAGACACATAGATCAATGGAACAGAATTGAAATCCCAGAAATAAAACCACACATTTATGGACAGCTAATCTTTGACAAAGGAGCCAAAAACATACAATGGAGAAAGGCTAGTCTCTTCAATAAATGGTGTTGGGAAAACTGGACAGCCACTTGCAAAAGAATGAAGGTAGACCATTATCTTACACCATACACAAGAATTAACTCAAAATGGATTCAAGACTTGAATGTAAGACCTGAAACCATAAAACTCCTAGATGAAAACATAGGCAGTACACTCTTTGACATTAGTCTTAGCAGCATCTTTTCAAATGCCACGTCCACTCAGGCATGGGAAACAAAAGAAAAAATAAATGGGACTACATCAGACTAAAAAGCTTCTGCAAGGCAAAGGAAACCATCAACAAAATGAAAAGACAACCCACCAACTGGGAGAAAATATTTGCAAATCATATATCTGACAAGGAGTTAATTTCCAAAATATATGAAGAACTCATACAACTCAACAAAAAAACAAAAAACCCAATCAAAAAATGGGCAGAGGATATGAACAGACATTTTTCCAAGGAGGATATACAGATGGCCAACAAGCACATGAAAAGATATTCAATATCACTAATTATTTAGGGAAATGCAAATCAGAACTTTGACCTATCAGTATGGCTATAATTACCAAGACAAAAAATAACAAATGTTGGAGAGGATGTGGAGAAAAGGGAACTCTTATACACTACGGGTGGGAATGCAAACTGGTGCAGCCACTATGGAAGACAGTATGGAGATTGCTCAAAAAATTAAAAATAGAAATACCTTATGATCCAGCTATCCCACTACTGGGTGTTTATCCAAAGAACACGAAATTAACAATACAAAGAGATTTATGCACCCCTATGTTCATTGCAACATTACTCAAAATAATCAAGATATGGAAGCAACCGAAGTGCCCATCAACTGATGAATGGATAAAGAAGATGTGGTATATATACGATGGAATACTACTTAGCCATAAAAAAGACAAAATCGTCCCATTTGCAACAACATGGATGGACCTTGAGAGTATTATGTTAAGTGAAATAAGCCAGACAGAGAAAGACAAACACTGCATGATTTCACTCATATGTGGAAGATAAACAAACACATGGATAAAGAGAATAGACTAGTGATTACCAGAGGGGAAGCAGGTGGGGGGTGAGTGAAAGGAGTAAAGGGGCGCATATGTATGGTGACAGATAAAAACTAAACTATGAGTGATGAGCACAATGCAGTCTCTACAGAAACTGATATATAATAATGTACACCTGAAATTTCACAATGTTATAAACCAATATGACCTCAATAAAATAATTTAAAAAAAAAAGAATTCTGTCCTTCAAAGTCACACACCTGGCATCCATCATCCCCATATCTACTTGGTCCACTTGGACATCAGTCTCTTTTAATGCACCCCTGGAACTCCAGGGAAACTCAGTTCACCATGATCCTTCAGAATGTAGCCCTTCCTACCCCCATCCATCCTCTGGCCATTGGGCATCAGGGCACAGTTGACATCTCCCTGCAATGTGTCTGGGGCTGCCCTGTGGCCTGAGATTGAGTGTTTGGATCCCTGGTCTGCTGCTGTTTGGAGTTTGGGGAAATGACCTTCTGCCAGGCCTCAGTTTCCCTATCTATAACTGAGCATGGGCAGAGTGCTGATGTGGTTACTATACATGTGGGCTCTTGAGTCTCAGGTCCTTGGGCCTGGAGGCCGGCTCCACCGCTCATCAGCTGCGTGGACCCCACCCACCTGGGGAGTGTGGTGGGGATCAGCCACGTGATGCAGGGAGAGCGGTGATATGGGCCTTTCCTGCTCACGAGAGTTACCCGGAAGCTTAGGAAAAGTCGGGAAGCCCAGGCTGCACCCAGACTATTAAATCAGAGTCCCTGGGGGTGGGACCCCGGTGGCATTGGTATTTCTTAGAGCCCCAGTGATCTCAGCCGGTTTGGGAGGCCGTGGTGCAGAGCTCTAGCCCAGTGTTGGGCATGTGGTGGCACCTTCCAGCTCTGTTCTTTCACAGGGGCCCGGCTGGGGGAAGCCCCTGCTTGGCAGCACGCCCAGCCAGGGGTGAGGCTGGGGCCCGGGGACTCACCTGCCCCCTCCTGTAGCTCCTTCCTCCAGGGCATGAGGCGGCGCATGCTGCGGCGCATCCTGAGGAGGTGGCGCTGGAGGGCCTGGGGTCCAGGTACCCCATCAGGCAGCTCCAGGACTACTTGGGCCCCGGAACTGCTGGGGGGCATCCCGGGAGGGGAGGCCTCGCTGGGCTGCAGCACGCCCCGCAGCTCACTGGAGAAGGTGAGTGGAGGGGATGGGAGGGGCTAGGGCAGGTAGGGGGCAGGTCGGGGGAGAGGGTGGGGACAGGACAGGGCCAGGGGACCCAGGCCTCCACACCTCCTTTCCCAGGCGTCCAGGGCCCCCGCCCCCCTGGAGAGCCTCCAGGTGAGCTTTCTGCTGGCAGCTGGGCGGCGGCAGCAGGGGCGGTGCCTTCTGTTCTGGCATGCGCGGGCCCAGCAGTCCCGGGGCGCAGCGAGCTGGCACCAGAGCACCCTTCAGAGGCGGTAGGGGCCCCTCCCCAGGACGGGTAGGCCGTGCTGCCCACCACTCTGTGGATTTTCTGTTTCCTAGCAGCCCCTTTCCCCTTGATCCTTGACCTTCACAGCAGCATCCCCTTGGGGTCTGCATCCCAGAGGACTCCCCTCTCACACCCCAGTCGTGGCCCCCAGACTCAGATCCTCTCAACTCCTCCTGCCCTCCTACCCTGCCCTGCTGGGAGGTGTGGGCACGCACTCAGCAGGGTAATCGTTTCTCTCAGAGATTTCACAGCTGTTGTTCATTCATTTATTCCTTCATGGCACAATGCTTAAGAGTCAGTCTGCCTAGGTTCTAATCCCAGCTTTGCCTCTCACTGGCTGTGTGATCTTGGGCAAGTTGCTTAACCTCTCTGTGCCTCCGTCTCCCCACTTGCATGGGGGTAATAATAGTATTCACTCCAATGGGAATCAGCGAGGAAGGGGCCGTGCACCCCTAGCACAGTGCTGGCACATAGCACTCAGTTCACAGCAATGTTTGTCACTAGCGGCTGAGCACAGCACTTGGCATTGGGGGTCTGGCGTCCCATCTTACCCCCACCACCAGTCATGGTGACCCTCGGAGTAGCATTTGGGCCCTCCAGCCCCCAGCAGCCCACTCCCCTCATGATGGAAATGGAGAATAGTCACCCTAAGCCCCTCTCTGCTGCTGAGGGGAGGGGAGGGCTGGGCTGGCCCCAGGTGGCAGTGACCATCCTCAGAGTGGACACTCCCCTTCCCAGCATCCTCCTTGGCTGGAGCCACTGGGCAACAGCCCAAGGGGCCCAGAGAGAGCTGGCTGCCCGCTGGGCCTGGGGTCAGAGCTGCAGGGCCGTGCTGAGCCTGTGGCGGCGGCGGCTGGTGCAGCAGCAGGATGCGGAGTGGTGGGCCCAGGAGCGGGGCCGGAGACGGGTGCGAGATACCCTGCACCACTGGCACTCCTGCTGGCAGAGTGAGTCAGGAACTGGGACGGGGCACCGAGGGTGAGGGAAGGGCCAGGGTCCATCAGGGAGATCCAGGATTCCGTGTCCCCTAGCACAGAGTCCAGCGATGGGACCTCCCTCAGGGCACAGCGGGACTGGCGTGGCAGAGCAGAGCGTGGGGTCGTGGACACTGTAGTCATGGGTTCACATTCCCGCTCTTCCACTCCCTGGCTGTGTGGACTTAAAACAAGCTACTTAACCTCTCTGAGTCTCAGCTTGCTCATCTGTAAAATGGGGATAACAGTGGTACCCACCTCCTAGGGAGATTGTGGGGATCCTACAAGACTATCCCCGCAATGTGCTTGGCTCAGAACCCAGCTCCCAGTAGGTGTTACCATCATCATCACCTTCTTCTTCCTCATCATCCTCACCTGGCCTTCAGAGTCACGGGTCTGAGCACAGAGTCATGGTGTCCTCAGAGCCCAGCACAGGAGGCGCGGATCACTGGGGGCCATTTTAGAGGCGTCCCCCTACACCAATATACATCCTATCAATGGGCTGGTAGGTGGGGACTTGGTTGTTCTGGAAAGTTCATGTCCTATCCGCTGGGACAGCTGCTTCTCCAGCCCAATTGCCTAGTTACCCAGGAATGCTGGCCCAATGTTGCCAGACCTTCTAGTTTTTAAAGAAAAGCTGGAAGTCTAGATTTTCACATGAATTTTCCTAATTCCTAAACATCATCAAATTTTTAAAAACCAAAAAACTGTGAGTTGGCCTGGTCACCAGTAGGGCAGCTGTAACCGCAGTATTTTAACCCAGACAGTTAGGGTGGGCTCCTCTGTTCCCACCTGGGCAGAGGGCAAAGGGCTGGCTGAGCAGCGGCCCACAGTCACCCCAGGCCCAGGGGTGAGGCCAGATGAGCACCCAGGCACTTCAGCATCTCTGACCACAGGGCAGCAGTTCCTGCATGAAAAGTACCAGAGGTGGGTGCAGGTCCACCTCCAGGGCCTGCGGAGGGCCACGTTCTGGCGCTGGCAGCAGGCGGCAGCTCGTCGGAGACGCATGGTGGCCGGGCCAGAGCAGCACCTACTGCAGAGGTGGGTGGGCCTGGGGGTGGGAAGGTGAGGGTCATCCACCCCCGGAGAAGCAGGGAGAGAGCCCAGGGGATGGGAAGCTGAGTTGCCTCTGCAGCTCTAGGGGCATTCCAGGCTGGAGGCCTGGGCCTTGGGAAACAGGGGTCACGAAGGGAGACCCCAGCCTGGAGCCGTAGAGCCATGACCACCAACCTTCCATTATCCGCTGGCTTTGGGAGGTGGGGGATGGGAAGCCCCTCACCCACCTGATGCCCTGACAAGCCCAGGTCTCCACCTCCAGCCCAGGTCAGTCCTTTGGTTTCAGGGGATACAATTAAGATGAAGGAAATCAACTCCTCAAGCAGCTGCCATAACATGTGTGTTCCAATACCACGTGTTGTCTGAGGAGTCATAGCACAGGGGAATTCTACTGTACACAGGGGCCAGAAAAGAGACTGAAATCTTAATGTAAATAGAGATGTTCTAGTTAAACATGTATATAGTTCCTTAATGCATATTTAAAAGCAGAGGGGACAGACGATACTTCCTCCCACCCTTCAGTTACAAATTCACAGATTTTCAGTGTCCCCACAGGGGCAGTGAACCGTTGACCGCAGAGTGGCTGACTTTTGCACTTTCCCATCTGACGGGGGTTGACATTTTCTTGGCCCCTCAGGGAGTGGGGGACCATGTTCTCCTCACCGACCTCCTGCCCCAGAGTGGGCTTGTGAGGGGAGCAGGGCGTGCTGTCCCCCTGGCAGAGCTGGGACTTGAACCCCCACCCTCCGGGGGCAGCATCTGCCCTGTGAGCCAGCGTGTGTGTGTGCCGAGGTTCCCAGATGACAGCCAGCACTGTCACCTGTTACACACCGGTCCACACATATTTAAGGCACAGGGTTGTGTATGCAAAACCGTGTATAACCTGTGACACTTTGTGGGGGATTCGCGGGTGTAATTTTGAATAAACGTGACTCTTGACTCTGAGAGCCAGCTGGGCCCCTCCTCTGCCCCTGTTTTGCAGCCACTTCCAGGCCTGGTGTGGAGGTGTGAGAGACACGGGTGCGCTCCGGGCCAAGCATCGAGCCTTCCAGGATGGCCTGAGGAGAAGGGCACTGGGGGCGGCATTTGTCACATGGCAGGAGGCCCGAGTGGCCGCAGCCCGGGCACGGGAGCAGCACGTGGCCCGGGCCTCCATCGTCCACTGGAGAAGCAGCGCGCAGCAAGGCCGGGCAGCCAGGCAGCTGAGGGGGGCCCAGGCCCAGCAGGCCTTCACAGCATGGCGAGTGGCCCTGGGCCAGCGTCGTGAGGCCCGACAGCAGGCAGAAGAGCGAGCTCGGGCCCAGGCCCGGGCGGCCCTGTGTTGGACGCTGTGGGTGCGGGAGTCCCGCCTACACTGGGTCAGCCGAACCCACACTGCCAGGAAGCTGAGCGCCAGGTGGGTGCCCATGGCCTGGGGGCGGCCCGCACTGTGCTTCCAGCTAGGCTTTGAGCTTATTTTGGGTGGGAGTAGAGGATATTTGGTGCTCCGCTCAGAGGGCTGGGCTCAGGAGGCTGGGGTGAAAGAGAGAGGCGGTCCTGGTCCCTGCAGTTCATCCTGGGGTCAGATCCCACCTCTGCTCTTTCCAGCTGTGTGACCCCTCTTTGGGCACGTTTCTAATTTTAAAGGTCAAAGGAACATAACAGGCCTGCCTTGTGCGGTGGCCCCAGGGATTAGAGAGAATGCGAGCAAGCACTCACCCTGGGCCAGACACACGGCAGGTTCTCCATAAACCGGGCTTCCTGTGAGGGAAGGGGAGGCAGAGTGTAGCAGGCAAGACTGCCCTCTCTCTGTCCCCTGAACAGGACGCTTGTCCCTGTGATATTCTGCTGCGCTCTGTGCCCATTTTAACCTGGTTTCCCCAGAAGAGGGATGGCGAGAGGAGGAACACAGGCCGGGGGCTTTGCCCGGGGTCCCCTTCCCTCAGGGCCCTGGCCAGGGCTGGGAGGCCTCCCTACGGGGCTGCCATAGGGTCCTGGCCCTGATGGCCTGGGTGTGGGTTCCTCCCTCTCCCCCAGGGTCCTAGAGGCCTGTGCACAGTCAGCGGCCGGGGGCCTTGTCCAGAGAGCCGCCATCACCCAGTTCCAGCAGGCTGGGCCCAGGCACCTCCTGCAGACCCACTGGGCCCAGTGGCGGACAGCACTGCTCACAGTGCGGCTGGAACCTGGGGCCAAGGTCCAGGAGGCCAGCATGGCTCGCCCCAGGCCCAGGGCCGACCTCAGGCACTGCCCCAGGCTGGCCAGCAGAGGGCGCCTCCTGGTGCTGATGGATGCCTCGGCCCCGCGGAAGCAGGTGAGGCAGGGCCAGGTGGGGCGGGAGGCCCAAAACTGACCTGAGGGCCGGTGACCTCAGAATCAGCCTGTTTCAGCCCATGGTGGCAAGCATGGCTGGATGCTTCTCCAGGGGCCCGGCGGCCTTGTGGACACCACCCCTACCCCGTTCTCGGACAGCTTCCTGGCTCTGGAGGACAGCCAACTCCGAGTCTGTCAGCAAACAGTTCCTAAGCACCTACTCGGTGCCAGCCCAGTGCAGGTCTCTGCAAAGACCAATGCCAGGGTCACAGTCTGTTAGGGAGATGGGCACCTGAACTCATTACATGTCATGCTGCAGTCTGGGATCCAGATAGGTACACAGGGACAGTAGCAAATTTTTGCTGTTATTTTTTCTTTTATCGGAAAGATGAAACATGCTCATTTCAGAAAATATAAATGAAAAAAGCTTTCTTTTATGTGTGTGTGTGTGTGTGTGTGTGAGGAAGATCAGCCCTGAGCTAACACCTATGCCAATCCTCCTCTTTTTGCTGAGGAAGACTGGCCCTGGGCTAACATCTGTGCCCATCTTTCTCTACTTTATATGGGACGCCGCCTCAGCATGGCCTGACAAGCGGTGCATCGGTGCGCGCCCGGGATCAGAACCCGGGCCGCCAGCAGCAGAGCACACGCACTTAACGGCTATGCCACGGGGCTGGCCCTGAAAAAAAGCTTTCTTTCATAACTCTCTCTACCCAAAGATAACTGCCAGCCCCTCTCCAGACGAGATGTAGTTAGTTCTGACACCAGCAAATGGTGACGAGAGCTTGATGGCCCAGCAGGAGGGACGAGGCCACAGTGAAAGCCAGGCTCAAGAAGTGACACTGCACAGCAGTCTAGGGACATGTTATAGCAGAACACACAGCCCCAGAGTTACTGGCAGGCCACTTAATGTTCCTCAAGATGTACTGGCATCAGCAAGAATCCTGTTTCAGAATGCCAGGAAGTATATAATAGCCTCTAGAAAGATTCTAAGGAAAAAGATTGAAGTGTTTTTTTAAATGGAATTGAAAGACTGAATTTGGTTACTTGCAGAATGCACATCTTCACATACATGAGGCTATGGCAACAGCAGATTTTGGGGTCTTAGAGTATTTTCTTTCCTTTTTTTGTGTGTGTGTGTGTGTGTGTGAGATCAGCCCTGTGCTAACATCTGCCAATCCTCCTCTTTTTTTTGCTGAGGAAGACTGGCCCTGGGCTAACATCCGTGCCCATCTTCCTCCACTTTATATGGGACGCCGCCACAGCATGGCCTGACAAGTGGTACGTCAGTGTGCGCCCGGGATCCGAACCGGCGAACCCCGGGCCATCGCAGCGGAGCACGTGCACTAAACCGCTTGCGCCACCGGGCCGGCCCCTAGAGTATTTTATTTCTGCATCTGTATTACAAGACAATTTTATTTGCAGAGTATGTTTATAAACACTTTCATTCCATGCCTGTTAGCAAGGGCAGGCAGGGATCCCATTTACTGATGGAGAAACTGAAAAAGAAACCAAAAGCCAATGTTGGGAATGGTAGCTGGGGTGCTGAATTCCAGGCCCCTCCTTTCTACCACACAAACACACGTGCCCAGGCAGCCCTCATCTGAGGATGCGAGCAGGTATTATGCCATCTCATGGTGGCAGAGTCCCTTAGAGCCCCTGGTCTGTATAGAGTTGCAGCTGGGGGCTCCAGCTATGGAGACGACCACTCCCAAAAGGCGGGGCCTCAGGCAAGTGATCTAGCATTGTAAAGCTTAAGTGGGGAGGGTAATACCCGCCTCACAGGCTGTCCCTGGCACAAGTAAGCTCTCACCGAGAGGTAGCTAGTATTGGTCCACCCCTCTGCTTGAAGCTCCAGCCACATGGAAGGATGGGAGAAGAGACAGTGGTGGGTACTGATGGCCATATTGCTCTTGGGCACCTTTTCTGTCTCCTCTGGGAGCTCGGGGCTCAAGAGAAAACGTGGGACAACGTGAACCGTCCCACTTGTGCACGCACAGGTAGAAGGCCCCACTACCAGTCAGGGGCAGGACAGGAAAGGAAGCCTGCCAGGTCACCTGGGCCCAGGAGTCCAAACCCATTTGGTTCAGGTTTTCCTCTCCGGCTTTTTCCTCAGGCCCGCAGCTGCAGGCCACAGGCCACAGGGCCCATGCTGTCTGGCCCAACCCAGCACCACAACCTCAGTGGACAGAGGAAGTGGAGAGAAGCAGCCTGGGCTCAGAGTAAGGAGACCTGCCCCTGGGGCCGGACTTGTGAAGTGCCGGGGTAAGCCAGTCACCAGCCCTCAAGGGAATGGGAATCAGCTTCGAGCTCCTTGGCAAATCTGTCTTATGACTTTACAGTAGTCTCCTCTTATCTGAGGTTTCACTTTCTGAGGGTCAGAAAATATTAAATGGAAAGTTCCGGAAATAATTCCTAAGTTTTAAATTGTGTGCTACTCTGAGTATCATGAAATCTTGTGTAGTCCCGCTCCATACCCCTGGGATGTGAATCATCCCTTTGTCCCAAGTCCCCACTGTATACACTACTAGCCCATTAGTCCCTTAGCTGTCTTGGGTATCAGATCAGATCGCAGGGCTTGTGTTCAAGTAATCTTTATGTTACTAATGGCCCCCAAAACACAAGAGTGGTAATGCTGGCAATTCAGAAATGCCAAAGAGAAGCTGTAAAGTGCTTCCTCTAAGTGAAAAGGTGAAAGTTCTTGATTTAATAAAGAAAGAAAAAAATGGTATGCTGAGGTTGCTAAGATCTACAGAAAGAATGAATCTTCTGTGAAAATGTGAAGAAAGAAAATGAAATTCGTGCTAGTTTTGCTGTCACATCTCAAGTATGTACACACACAAAAAAACATATTATATACAGCGTAGAGGGTTCAGTACTATCCGCAGCTTCAGGCATCCACTGGGGGTCTTGGAACGTATCCCCCTCAGATGAGGGGGGACTACTGTACTGCGTTTCCCCCTCCCATTTCTTCTTCTGGAATATTTCAGCCATTGTGAGAAAACAAGTGTTTTCTCCTGGCCTGTTATTTCTCTTTGGGCGGCAGCCCAGCGCTGCTGGAGGGTTGGGCAGATGTGGTGGAAGTGGGGGGCACAATGCTTAACACCTTTTGAGGTTCACCCCTCTTCACTGCCCTCCACTTCTAGGAGCAGACTAAGGGAGAGTTTGCCCTCCTGCAAGGATGTGTTAACCTCTTCCGACACAACTCCTTTCCAGGCGACAGAGAGCCTCCCCTCTACCACGCCTTCCAGCTCTGGCTGCAGTGGCCTGGACACAGCAGCTGGGCCCAGGGCCAGCTTCCTACAGGACCCGGAGAGGACCGCAGCTCTGAGACCGGCGCCCCAAAGGGCAAAGGCGAGGCCGATGAGAGGCGGTGGGGGTGAGCAGCTGCATGCGTGTGGAGTGGAGGCAGGGACCAGGGGCTTGGCTGAGCCACGGCGAGAGCTGGGCCCTCTCTGGACAGTGCTGGTTCCAGCAGGATCCTGGAGGAGCAGGGCCACGCCCATGGCTCTGCCCTTTTTCCTGGCCATGCAGGAGTCATGATGCTCTTGGCCTTCAGGACACACACCAGGGCCTCTCCCCCCAGGAGGAAATACCTGCAACGCTGGCACCTTGAGGCACTGCTTCGCCGGCTCCAGGGTACCCAGCAGGCCAGGCACCTGGCAGTGAGGTGGCAGCGTTGGGTAGATGCTCAGGGGGCAAAGCGGCTGGCTCGGACACTGGTGAGTGGGGGCAGCCCCTCCCCATCCTCGTGCTTATCTCCCATCTCAACCATAACCCCTAGAAACAAAGTCTCACAAAGTATGGTCTTTGGACGACCAAACCTGAACCCTTGGGGAACAGGCCCAGGAATCTGCATTTTTAATGCACCTCAGATGATACCTGCTTTGTCACATCCCTTTCATCCTGGTGCCACAGAGCTGCAGGCGGGAGAGGCAGCAGAGGGGCTGGGGCTGCCAGAGGCAACAGCGGGCCCAGCTCAGGGCCCTCTCATCAACTGTCCCCATAGCTCAGGCAGTGGCATCTGAGATGGGCCTGGCGAACGTGGCGGAGGCAGGTCCTGCGGCTGCGGGTGGCTCAGCGATTACAGCAACAAGACGACAGCTGGGTCCTTTCCCAGGTACTGGGGGGGCAGCCCCCACCTCCCAGTAAGCTCTTCCAAAACTAGTGCCACACCTGGACATTTCTGAGCTGCACGCTCCCTGCTCACCACCCTCAGGGCCCCTTCATTTTCAGGGAAGGGGTCAGTTCAGTTAGAGAAAACAGCTTGGACTCTAGAGCCCTTGATTTAATTGGTGGCCCCGTGCTCAGCAAGTCCTACCCCATCACTCAAGTTTGGGAACAAGGCTTGGCCTGTGGCACATCTGCTGCCCACGCTGGCCGGTGTAGGGTGTGGGTCCCTGAGTGTCCCCTCACTCACTTATGTGCTTCGCTCTGAGCATAGCTTCCCAGATCAGGAGTCAGGTCTATTCTGAGCCCTGCATTTGGCCTGACGCTGCCTGCCGGGAGTGGAGGGAGGTGCCTCCTATTCCCCCGGGGACAGAAAGAGCTGGGCACAGGTGTTAGCCCAGCACTTAGAGCACAGACCCAGGAGGGAGCCAGATTGCCTCCCCCCCGCCTCTGATTCCAGGCCTTTGAGAAGTGGCACCAGTGCTTGGTAGCCAGGGGCCCAAGGAGAGGAGACAGCAGCAGCCTGAGACCCCTGAGCAAGCTGGCCATCAGGAGCCCTGGGAGCAGGCTGGAAGCTGCCAGGGCCCCCGTGTGTGCTAGACCTGGGGCAGAGCAGGGGCCCAGCTGCAGCTGTGACTGTTCCCGTGGAAAGAAAAACAGAAACTGAGCCCAGCCTTCCCAGGGAAGCAACCGTGCCCCACCCACCAGGGGAGGGGGAGTGGAGGCTATCAGGCCCCAGGGGCGCTCATCCTAGGAGCTCCCAAGGACAATAAAACGCCCTCCTTAGTCCTGGCTGCTTCTCTTGCTCAGTCTCTCCTAAAGCTGCCCCGCTGCCCCTCCAGGCTGGCCCCTCGGCCCCAGCCCGCCCGTCTGGGAAGGAAGTGAAGAGAACTTGCCCACGACGCTGCTGCCTCCTGTCATCAGGCTGCTCTTTGGACATCCACCACGGCCCCCTCCACTGAGCCAGCAAAGACCAGCAGGCAGGGACCAGCCTACGTGCATCCGCCAGTCACCGCCCCTAGGCAGGAGCCTTGAGGGCTGACTCCTGGGGAGCAAGGCCAGGCAGACAGCTCTGGGACGGGGTGCACAGAGGAAGGGAGCAGCTGGCAGGAGGGGGTCCCACCTAAAACATAAGCCAGGAAGAAGCCCTGCTCGGGAGAGCCCATCTTTGCCCTTGACGGTAAGGGACAGGGTATTTCTTCATGGCCAGGGGAAAAAGGGCAAACAGGGAAGGCCAAGGGCTCCACCAAGCACAAGGCTTCAGACGCCTCTAACCCTTGGGAGGCGCGCCTCTCCAGCCTCCAGGACGCAGAGATGACGGTTTCAAGCAGCAGCACTGCAGAAAGGTGAAACCCAGCTGAGCTCAGGTAGAAGGGGGCAAGAAATGCATTATTAGGTTTCAGCCCAAGGCCTGTCCGGGGGCTGGTACCTCGGCAGGGCAGGAGGTAGGCAGTGCAGTGGTCTGCCCCTCAGTCACAAGTAACTAGTGCCCAGCTGCCAATGTCTAGGAGGCAGAAGGGTGCAGCACCTTCGCTTCGCCATGTCCCCCCGGAAAACCACCGTGCCTGCTGCCTGTGTTCACTCTGCCCGTCCTCCACAGGTCCTAAGTGCAAGGTCACTGCAGTCCCAGGCAGGCTCCCAGGGGCTGCCCTGGTGCCAGGGCTCATCCAACAGCTGGTCTCCCCTCTCAGGGAGGATGCTGCTCCGCCCACCGTGCTCCTCTGCAGGACGGAGGTGCTCCCCACAAAAGAGCACAAGTCCTGGCTGAGCAGGGAACACAGGGCTCCGCGTGGGGCTGACTCAGGTCCAGCCAGAGCCCAGAAGCCTCACACCAGTCTAGCTGCCATCATCATGTGGGGAAGTGGAGGCCAGGGCTTGGGGAGAAATGAAGGAGAACAGGGGTCCCCAGGAGAACCAGGACTGGGGAGGAGGGAGGTGGGACATAGCAGCCTCAAATTAAGGATGTTGGTGCAGAGTCACGGAGCCTCCATCTCCCTCTCATTCGGGATGGGCCTGTTGAGAAGCTCAAATGTGTCTTCCACCACCTGCCACAGGCAGTTGTCCAGCGGAAACTCATTGTCCACCAGGTTGACCAGGAAGTAGTTGTCGTGGATGTACTGGATGATCATGCGTGACGGGGACTCCTCGTCATACAGCTTGCCCCACTGCTCGATCCACAGGGCGAAGGCCTCATCCTGCACATGCACACACACAGGCACACATGCACCAGCGCACGCGCATGCGCGCGCACACACACACACGCAAGGTTAACAGAGCTGCCCTCGGGTCAGGACTCCGTGCTCCATGCTCCATGCCCCAAGGGCCTCTGCCGTTGCCCAGCAGGACATTTCCAGGAATAGAACAAGACTTACTGCCAGTGCCACCTCCCACCCCCCACCCCAGAAATAAATACCATGAGTCAGAATCAAGGCGCAGGTGGGAAGGCCAAGTCCGTCAGCCCCAGGGGTGTGGCCTCCAGCCACACTCAGGACCCAGCCATACTGCCTGCCCAAGGTTTTCGAGGAGCAGGGCAGGCCAGCTCCCGGCCCCCTTACCTTCCAGAACATGAAGCTGACAGGATCCACCACTGTGGGCTGGATGATCTCTCGCCCAGGGAAGATGCCCCAAGTGACGGCGTTGGGCTGCAGCTCAGGGGCATTGGTGATGTTTTCACCCTGAGGGGCGTGGGTGGGGGCAAGAGCAGACTTGGGGCAAACACATTGCAGTCCTCTTCCTGCCTGAGGGGCTCAACTCAGGGGGAGCGCTCTGCTCATGCCCCCTGCCCGCCCCTCCCACTCTGTAGCAATGTGAATAGTGTCACTCGCCACGTGAGCCCCAAACCTAGAGGCCATCCTGGGCATTTCCTTCCTCCTCTCTGTGCCCCAATCAGCTCCACATCTGGTGCTCGGCTTACTCTCCCACCTGTCCCCTTGTGTCTAGCCCCCTGCTCTCTGTCACTCGGACTACCACGAGGGCCTCTGACTCTAGTCTTCCCCGGCCCCACTATTCACACAGCTGTCCCCTGTGACCTGCCTAAAACAAAACACGGAGCCAAGTCACTCCACGGCTGGGAAAGGCTCCCTCTGGCCCTTAGGGAAAAACCCAAATTCCAAGTAGGACAAGGACGTGGCCCCTGCTTAACACTTCAGCCTCCCTCTGACCCCATTCAGCAGTGTCCCAAAGGCTGTGCGGCCCATGCCTTTGCACGCCCTCTGCCCCTTCCCTGAAATGCCCTTCTCCTCCTTGGCCTTAAAGATTCAGGCCACACAGGCCTCAAGAGCCTTCCCTGACCTCCCAGGTTAGACGTCCCTCCGGGGTCCCCAGCACTGTACACTGAACTTTACTGTCTGCTCACACGGAGTCCCAGTTATCCCAGTGGTCTCCCTCACTAGGCTGGGAGCTCTCTGAGGCAGGGTCCTAGCTCTGTCTGCACATCTGTCTTGCGTGTCCCTGGCTGGAAGCTAGGTGCTCGGTGACTGAACGGAGGCAGAAGCACGGGTGCCCTCAGCCCTGGGCTCCGGCCCTGCTACGCGCCGTCTGGACCAGGAGCTGCCTACCTTCACATCGACGATGTGGTAGTTGACCCGGAACTCATACTTCTTCAGCACTTGCAGAAGCGCTTCCACTGTCTCGCGGGAGGTGAAGAACTCTAAGTAGGCCTGGGGGAGCAACACAGGCACCTGTCACATAAGCCAAGTCCTTGCCAGACGCCTTCTTCTGTGTGCTCTGAGCAGGCCGTGTGCTCTGAAACGCCAGACGCCTGCCCTCCTGACCGGCCAGGGAGGCCCCCATGCAGACACTTAAGGCATCGGGACTAGCGGTGGCCATGTGGATGGAATCATGAACTGCAGAGCTGGCAAATACACGAGCAAAGGGGAGGGGAGCAGGTATGTGAGATCTCTCAGTCTGCACAGGTCTGAGGGACATCTGCCACCCTTCATCCAACTGGGGAAGGCTCCATGGAGAAGCCATTTCCAAAGCTGTACAGGAGGCCCAGTCTGACAAGCTCAGGCATGTGAGAGAGGCCTGACACATCCTGTCTTCCCCCGCACTGGATGTGACAATGACACTGAGGGCTTCTCTAGCACCAAATGGGGGTTAAGCTGGGTTCATTTAAATTCATTTGCAGTAATGCTTATAAGACTGCCGGGTGGGCACCATTATCCCCACTTTACAGATGAGGAAACTAAGTTCAAGGCAGTTGAGCAACTTGGCTGCATGAGGGTAAACAGCAGAGCTGGTCCTCAAACCCAGGTCTCTAACTCCAAAGCCCAGGGTCTCCAGTTGAGAACGCAGTCTTAACTAACTCCAGCAGCCCTAGGAGAGCAGCATCAGCTCAGATGAGTAATAACAGCTCTCATTCAGTGAACGCTTCCATGTTCTTCCCACGTGCAAGGCGCTTTACACGCTTGGTCACTTTTCATCCCCAGAACGTGATAGGACACAGCCCCATTGTATAGAAGAGAAAGCTGAGGCTCAGAGCAGTCAAGTGTCCTGCCTACCTAAGTCTATCTGACTTAAAGTGTGAGCTCCCGTCCCCTCTGGTCCACTGCCACTCAGAATAAAGAGCCCCCGGAGAGGAAGGCTTCTCTGTCCCCATCTCTGGAGAACCCCTGCGTGCCGGCCAAGGTGGGGTTGCCCTGTGTGTCCCTGCCATACCTTCTGGAAGACATAGCCCCCGCTGGGGCCCCAGCCCACAGTGGGGTCGGAGGACGGCTTCCCGTTAATGTTGGGCTGGGAGTTGATGGTGAGGATGCCCTGCCGGTTCACTCGCAGCAGCTCCTCCTTCATCAGGCTCGTCTCAGCTGCCAAGGGCTCGTCATTCCAGGGCAGGCAAGTCACCTGGGAGAGAGGGTGAGCCGGGCGGGGGCCACGATCAGATCTGGCGCCCTGGGTGTCTCCCTCTCATGGGCTCTGTCAGAGACCCAGCCTGTCTTTGCCTCTATAAGCCCCTTCCAGGCACCCTTAGGTGGGGATGTCCCAACTCACCCTTCCCTTTGCTGAGGTGCCATGTCCAGACACGGAAAGATGAGGCTCAGGGTGGGGAAGTCACAGCCCCGCGGTCTGGCCCACGGGGAGACAGGGCGGGGGAGGTCACCTGGATCCCGCCTCAGCCCCACTCACTTTGTAGCCGTTCTGGTTGGGCTCTCCCGAGAGGTAGCAGGCAAAGACTTCAAAGACACTCTCTTCACTGGTCAGCTCCTCGCCCCACATCTTTAGCAGCTCTTCCCTCGGGGACTTGCTCTTGAGGTAGAAGAGGTAGTAGTCCTTCAGCTCCCCGAAGGCCGGTGAGGAGGAGTTGCCCCTGGTGGAGGAGGTGTCCAGAGGTCAAGGCATACTCCTGACCTTGGGCTTCTGACAGGACAGTCACACCCACGTGCCTGGGGGGCATTCCTGGGAATCCTTTTCCCCGTTGCTCCTCCCAAAGGCTCAACCATAAGCATGCCATCTCCTGCCTCCCTCCTCCCAAGAAATAGGATTCATTCGCCATGGTGCGTCTGCAGCTCACCAGCGGCCGTTGGGGAACTCATCCCAGTCCTGGGTGCGGTAGATGTAACTCCTCGGCCTGGAGGCCCAGAATATGGGACGTACATCTTCCTCCCGGCGCTTGGGGTGGGCACTGACAGCCCAGGGCAGGGGACGCCTGGATGAGAATGAGACAGAAATGGTAAGGGATCGGCCAGAGGGAGCAGGGAGGCGCAGGGCACCACTGAGCCTGGCTCTTCGGTCTGATTCGTAAATGTCAAGCCACACGTGGAGATCCCCCAAGACTGGGATCCTCAGTGAGCCACCAGCCACAGCGTAGACATCACTCTGTACCCCGTGGTAGCCAGCACCACGAGGCCGTGCTCCTTCTGACTTCTCTGCCCACCTGACTTTCCACCGCAGCTCCTGGGCCTGAATCCGGGCCACTGGCCTCACCTGGGGTCCTCGATCCACAGGCCCAGACGCTTCAGCACCTCGATGGTGGCTACCTCGCGGTTGAGGGTATAGAAGTGGAGGCCCGGCACCAAGCCACTTGCCAGAAGCTCCCGGCACAGGCTCACGGCCTGCTCGATGCCATAGCTGCGGATGGCAGCGTCGTTGTCTTTGATCGGCTCGATCACATCCTTGATCTGCTGCGGCACCTCCAGCTTGGACAGCTTCACAAGCTGCCGAAGGGAGTGGTAGCCCTGTCCGAGACACGAGGGGGCTGTGGGGCTAACTCCCAGCCCTCTCTCACCCTAAATACTCACTCCCCACCCTGTCCCCCAGCAGGTCTCCTGGCCAAGTGGAGTGCAACACAAAGGGACCCAGGAAAGTCAGGCCACATTGTACGAGGACCTTGCCCAGTCCTGCTTCTCCCGCTCTTTGCAGAGTACAGCAGCTGACTGTAGCATCCCTGCCAGCGGTCTGAGCCAGCCCTTTAGCACCTAGATGTATTTATTGATGACATGTGGTCACCTAACCCAGTGGTTCCCAAGCCTCACAGATCATCAGAATCACCTGCAAAACTTAAGATGTGATGTACAACTTCCCAGGCCCCACATCAGATCCACTGCATCAAACTTCTGGGCATGGGATCTGGAAATCCATCTTTTGAAGAAAGCTTATCAAATGATTCTGAAGACAGCCAAGTCTGGGAAACACTGATTTAAGCAAAATTTAAATGCGAGATTTAATCCCTTTTAGTGACATCTGTCAGTAAGCCAAACTACAACAAGGCCCTCCAATAGGCACTTCTGCTGTCTTAGGGGGCAGTTAGAGATAACCAAAATTCGGTGGCATTTTGTAAGGACTGGCACATCTGTCTGAAGGGGACTCTAACGAGCATCCAAGAACTTTACCATGAACTCGGCACTTCACCCAGGGCCCTGCCCTGTGCCAGGACGGGGCTGGAGGGAGTCCATTAGCCCTCCTGGGACCCTCACCTGAATAGGAAAGATGCCGGGGAGGATGGGGCAGGTAATGCCTATCTCGGAGCAAGCCTTAACAAAACGGAAGAACGTGTCAGCCTCAAAGAAAAGCTGAGTGATGATGAAGTCGGCTCCCGCAGACACCTTCTCCTTCAAGTACTTCAGGTCGGCCTCAAGGCTCCCTGCGTCAGGGTGGCCTTTGGGGTAACCTGCCAATAGGGATGACAGTACAAGAGGCTGGCTCCACCTGCTCAAGGCGAGTGATGAAGAAACCAGAGAGCTGGGAACAGAGAGTTCTCTGCCTCGGGGGTTCCGGACTCGTACCTCCACCCCCACGGCGTGGACAGGCTGAACGGTGAGTGGCTGGGCTCATTGCTGACGTGCCCCTCACCCTGGACATGACCCTGGGTAAGATGCGGGTTGGAGCCACCCTCCCAAGAGTAGGGGGGATGGATTGCTCCAAACTCCCCACCCTGTCCTGCCTCACGCCCCTTGCAACCAGCCAGGCCAATCAGGCCTGCACTTTGTGGCCACGGAAAAGAGAAAATGCTACATTCGGCACTGGCTGGGCAGCATCCGGGTGCTAGGCTCGAGTCTGGGCACTGGATTAAAACAGGGCTTTTAATTTAGCATTAAAATTACTCCGGGGTCTAAGATAGTGAAAAGTTAGAAACCATGTTACACGAGGAAGAACTGCAGAAAGCAGAGACCTTTTGTTTGACACAAAGAACAGAAAGAACGACCCAAGGTCTGTCACAGGGAAAAGGATTCACCTCAGCCGAGTTCCTTATTAGTCACACTGTGCTGCTTCTGACGGCAGAACCAGGGTCAGATTCAGACAGTGGCCTGACAACAGAACGAGGAGCCCCGCAAAGGAAGCAGCTCCTGGAGTGTGAAAACACCGGGGCAGCCAGGATGACACGCGCCGGGGATGCTGAAGGTGGGATTCTGGAATCGTCTGGGAGGGGAAGCAGGCTCCTCCCTGGCTCCATGAACTCTGACCACTTCCCTAAACAATTGAACTTACTAGCAGCCCTGCTTGCACAGGAAGACCGCAGGCCTTAATGAAACTGCAGGCAGGGTGCTGGCTTCCTCAGCCTGAGCCCAGGGCAGGACCCCACGCCAGGAAGGGGTAGACCCCAGGGCCAGGCTGTTGGGAAGCCAAGCTGCTTTGCTATGATAAGGCAGTTTCGTTCTTAAGAAACCCCAAGTCATCAAAAATAGATGTAAAAACTACTGTTTCCAGGGGTGAAGGGGTGGGAGGATTAAGCACCTGGATTTCACACTTTCAATAGCAAGGCCATTTTTCCAGCAGGAATTTCAGAAACAAAGAAGTTTTACTAGCTGAAACTCCATAGCTTTAAAACCTCAATATCACCAAACAAGTCTAGCACTTGATCACACTTGGACTTTCCCAGTTTCCTATATTCTCGTTCTGCCCTGGTCAGCTCGGTGCTTTCCAAGCCCCCATCCTCTTTCTCACCCCCTTTACAATCAGCAAAGCACCAAACCACTCAGCCACTGACGCTCACGGCTCTGCCGGCTGCCCCTCGCGATCATCCACGGCCTGCTGCACGCGTGCACGTTCCCCAAGTGACTGACTGGATTGTGGCCATGCGAGCCATGGACACTCCAACAGCTGCACATGCCTGCTGTGTTCCTAACTCCTCGTCAGGGCCTCCCAGACTCATCCACCTCAACAGCCCCACTGACTGAGGAGAGCGGACACGTACCTGGGGCCTGGGACTAAGCCCAAAGTCACCCAGAAAAGTGATTTCCTTGAAGCCACATGGCTTATTTTTTTTAATTCAGATCACTTTGACCTGCTATCCCATAAATGTAGCCATGTTTATTTTAATATAAAAATGATATGATTTTCCCCAAAATATTTGAGAAAAATTGTCACACCAAGATGATGTGCCAAATTAATCTCCAGACTTTTTGTGTCCCTGGCACATGCTGCCTCACCATATGCAAGCCCCTATTTGAGAAGCTGAAGGCCGGATCCCCATGAGTGGGGGTAAGAGAGAAGGCCACCCCATCCATTTCTAGAAGGTGAGCCTTGCCTCCTGGCTGTAGCCAATGGAACTAGAGTTGAGCCAATCCAATTCTCTCTCCTGAGAATTTGGAATTGACACTGAGACCTGTCAAGCAGTCTGCACTGTTGGCTGTAATTGACCACATATACTCAGGAGCAGGCAGAAGCTCATGTGTGGGAATGTGTACCCACGTCTACTGGACTAAGCATGGAGCAGACGTGCAGTGGGAGGCAGAGATGTGGAACTCTGGCTCCAGAGAGAATGAAGGGGGCCTTGGTTCCTGGCTGTTTCTAGTGCCAGCACCTGGTGAGGTCTGATGCCACTTCCTGACCTTGGGTTCTGAGATTCCCTGCCCCCCGGAATCTTAATAAATATCCCTCTTTTATTTGAAGAAGAAGCAGAATAGGGCTGGAAAGCAGGCTGAGAGCACGATAAGGCAGAGCAACAAAAACTTGAGGGGTGGTGGCAGCCTGGGAGGGTGGTGGTGATAGAAGGAGGGCAAGGACATTGTGTAATTCACCTCTGCCCCTCCTCACCTGGTACAGACTCAGGCCCACGGTGCACTGGGTTACCAGGGCCTGACCTGAACACCGGCGGGCTCCCCATGCCTCTCTGGGCGTCTCATTCCTTCCCCTCTCTGTCCCCACCCACCGGGATGCTCCAGCCACTTACCTGCCACACAGACGTCAAAGTAGTCACCAAACTCGCTTCGGATGTGCTTCACCAGGTCTGCAGCATAGCTGAAGCCTCCTTCCTCCTCCTCCCACTCGTCACCTATGGGGTCTGCAGAGTTGGTGGAGGTCACAGTCACTGGGGCTCACCCAACCTCCAGACAGCCCTTCTGCTCCTTCTCCCTCCCCTTAGACCCAGGACTGTGAGCTCCTCAAGGGCAGAGCCTTCATATTATTTAAGTTTGTGTCTCCTCTTCCTGGCACAGCACTTGGTCAATAGTGGGAGGGAAGACAGCGGCCAACCTGTCAAACATTTACCGAGTGCCAACCCTGCGGGCACTGCGCTGGCAGTGGTGCACAGGGGACGGCTGCTGCTCTTTGTTTAGCCTGGAGCTTCTGAGATCCCTTCCCCACTCAGACCTGCATGTGCTCAGGCACCCTCACCCAACCCCACTGAGAAGTGGTCTTGCGGTGGGGAGCAGAGGCCACAAGATCCCACCCATCAGGCTCCCTCTTCCCACACTTGGGTGGCTCGGTGACAGCAGGCACCAGAGGCATAAGCAGCTATTCTCACTCCTGGGACAAACGCCAGAACCACACTCTTTGACTGGGCCAGGAGCTGGGAGCAGCCAGCGACTGATGAAGCTAAGTATAGCCAGGGCAGAGGGTTATCAGTCACCAGCTGCCTTCCCGACTGAACCCCTACGTCGAGGTCAAGAGTCAAGAGGTGGCTCCATCTGTGCAATGCCCAGGGTACTCACTACCCACAATGCCCACTGATGCTACTGGCAGGGAGGAGACCCTGAGCATGCTCAGTGTGGGCCCCGAGAAAAGTAATGGACCGTTCCAGGGACAGAAGAGGCCTTCGGGGAAGGCAGAGCCCCGAGAGTAGGGTGCTGGCTCCACACCTCCCCTCAACGCCAAGATGTTCTTCAGGCCCAGCCGCTTGGCCTTGTGCAGATAGCCAGTGATCTCCTCCCGGCTCTGATGGCAGCAGGTCATGTGCAGGATGGTCTCCAGGCCACAGTAGTTCACAGCGGCACTGGCGATCACCATGGAGGAGGTCTCCTTGTCGGAGCCAGGGTCCCCTGCTGGGTGCCAAGTCACATCTACGAAGAGGGGGCCACCTGCCCCCATGCGGTCAAACCTGTAGGGAATTTCTTTCTGAAGAGGGCCTCCCGGGAGCACACCACCCTTCACCACCTTCCCATGGGGTCTGCGAGTTAGAGATGCATGCAGAATGGAATCAGACCAACCTGCATTCATATCCTGGCTTTGCTATTTATTAGCTGTGTGATCTTGGGAAAATTACTTAATCTCTCTGAGCCTCAATTTCCTCATTTCTAAAATGTGGCAGAGAACAGTACCTACGTCATAATACATTATAGAAATAGTACGCTAGATGGCTCCACAGCTCTTAGCACAGTGCCTGGTACACAGTCGACACTCAGTCAATCGAGCTGCTATTACGAGGATTGCTATTACTGTGGAGATAACATGTAACAACAGTGCACCCATTTTGTGTGACAGCAACACTTTAGACTTTGCAAAGTGCTCACACATTTATTATCTTGGGTAAGTTAAGACATTTCAATGGTCAAAGGTTCGGGGAAGCCTCAGAGTGGCAAGCAGAGGATCATTACAGGAACAGGAAAAAAGAGGGTGAGCAGATACAAGTTTGTTTCATGCTGCCCCCCAGTCCCGGTGCAGCAGCCAGCAGTCTTGCAGAGCAAGGCCACAGTTCCTGAACTAGACTCTAGAGCCATGAGTGTGCACGTGCACACCGCTTTGTTACAAGCTGTAACATGGTGTATTTAAACATCCCTGTGCCTTTAAATTTCAAAACCTTGGGAGCGACACCTGAGACATGCAAACAGCAAAAAGGATAAACTTTAAAAAAGGAACTGCAATTCATAGTGTGCTAACGTAATGCAGTTGGCATTTCTAGATTTCAAGAGGCGTAATCCAAATTCCTAACTTGCTGAAAATGTTCTCCAAGCCGCTTTGTGACTTCCTAACTGTACTCACAAGCCAGCCCCAAGTTCCGCCCAAGTTTGAGAGAATCAACAGTTTTAACCCCCTGAAGTGTGTCTACAAGTTCCAGACGCTTGCAGAGACTTTTACAGACAACTGAGAAGCTTTGGATCAAAAGATTTACCCTGCTTTTGCTCTCTTCCAGCCCCTCTGGCTGCCTTTTTCTGCCAGGTCAAAGTGCAGCCCAGCCCCCGTGGCTGACAGAGCACCTTCTCCCCCAACCCCAGCCCCCCCCAATCTGGCCCTCCTCCTTACTGTTACATCAACTCACCTTGAGATGAGATTGACAGCTCCCTCGGCAGTCCGAGGAGGGAAGAATTCGAGGGAGAACCACTTGTCACCAGAATCCATCCTCCGCCTCATCTTCTCCCTGAGTCTCTCATGCCGCTCGGGGTCCAGCCCCGGGGTGGAACATCTCGAACTATCCCTGGAGCTCTCGCTGCCACTACTGCTGCCCTCCGAGCGGGGGTGGGGGCCGTCATTCCCTCTGGGTTCGTTCACCATGGCAGGGTTCCTGCTGCACGGGGTAGGGGCAAGAGGCATCAGAGGGCAGGCAGCCAAGCTCCAGAGTGACAGTCAAGTGAGAGTTGCTGCATTTCCACGCAGGCAGAAGGCTGGTGACGGTGAGGGTGAAAATGTCCCCACCCAGTGGCTCCACACGCCATAGTTACGACTGTCTGTGCTGCCTCACTCAAAGCTTTGCCCTCCACTGCTGCCTGGCTCCATGCATGACAGCCCCACCCGGCACAAAAACATGCTCCTTCAGCCCATGGATCCTTGATGACATCTACCTGATGGAGGGCGGCACAGAGAACCTCACACTGCCAGCCCCCAAGGCCCGCATTCCTAGGAAGGGGCAGTGGTGCCTGGCTAGGAAAACCCTGGGTTTTGGATGGTCCATCTCTGCCAGCTTAGACCCAGCGTGAGTAGGGAAGAAACACAGAAAACTTCCCCAGCGAGTGTGTCCCGACTGGGCGGAGCTATGACAAAGGAAGAGCCTAGAGCCAGAGCTGGAGGCAGCACAAGGGGGCGGGGGAAAGGCTTCCAGGCGAGAGGGAGGGCTGAGGCTCTAGCTGTAGAAGGCGGATGGAAGGAGGGGCACTCAGGGGCCAGAGACTGCAGGCGTTGGGGAGAGGCGGCCAACAGACGTTCAGTGTCACTGGATCACTCTCCAAAGAAGGAATAGCTTGGCGTGGCCCTGCCTAGAACATCTCCTGTTACTTGGAACAGTCTGCATGCAGGATGGATGGGGTGAGGGCTCGACAAAGAGCCAGATTTCTCCTGAGTTCATGCTACTCCAAAAAGACCATGTCATGATTAGAATTTGACATTGGCTGGGTTCCCAAAGTAGCTAGACCCAAGTTCAGTAAGGGCGTGAATTTACGTCCAACTCAGAACAAAGGATGCCCCATCTGGGCCTGCCTTCTGGGCTGTTCTCCTTACACACACCACTGAGGTCAGTTAAAGTAATTACAGTAACTGCACAGCCACTGTATACGAAGCCCTGAACCACGGCAACCACAGGCAGGCCAACAGAGGGCTCAGTACCACTGGGCGGTTTGGTGGGGAAAATAAGACAAATACTTACAATCAAAACAAAACACTAGTCTTGCACAGCAATGTGCAAACACACTTTTTTTAGCAGTGAAAATCAGGTGTGTGGTGACAGGGAGCATTAGAGGAACAACCTTGCCAAGTTGATTCCTTTCAGGGAACATCGACTGCTAAGCTGGTGTTCTTAACCATTTTGGGGTGCTAAACTCTTGAGAAACTGATGGAATCCACTGCTCCTCTCCCCTGAAACATGCTCAAGTGCACATAACACACATTGGTACATCTGAAGTCGAGGAGTCAAGAGCAGACTAAGAACACTTGTGCGAACACTTTCTCCCCATAGAGATGCCCATTTTGATTCTGACCTAAAACTCCAGTTTCTCAGCGAGGTTGGCCATCAGAAGTGAGAAGGGGGAGACTGTCAAGATCAGCCTTGCTGGCCTTTGTCCCAAATTCAATAGAGTGCCTTAACCATCTGCTGGGACAAGCCAAGAGAGGGGGAGGGGGCTGAACCACCTACAGACTGTTCTTTCATTTGCTCAATAAAGACTTACTGCATCCCTAGTACGTGCCAGGCACAAGCCTTTTTTCACGTGCCACTACTTATCCATTTTAGGCTAGGCTCCCATAGCACCCTGCGTTACAATTGTGGGCTCACAGGTCTGCCTCCCCTCCCACGCTCCAGTTCCCTGAGACCAGGGCCCAGTCCCCTGCCTGTGGTATCCCCAGTGCCTGGCACAGGGTAATAAAAGCCAGCACTCCCTGAGCGCCACCGGGCTAGGCGCTGTCACTCCCTTCTCAAAATAACCCTCTGCCATTTACTGCCCACTTACTTAATCTGTGCCAAGCACCGAGCAGTCGGGGGAGACGGAGCCCACCACTCCCAGAAGAGTCCAGGTGGGCACCGGGAACAGCAACGCCAGCGGCTCACGCTCTTCTCCTCCAGGGGCTGGAGGGAGGCAGGTTTAAAAGGCGGGAGCCGGAAAGACGCCTGCGGCGCCCGGGTGGCTGAAGGCCGAGAATCGAGTCACTGGGTCACCGGCGGGGGCGGGGATGCGGGCCCAGGCCCGCTGGTGGGGGGACTGGTCACCATCCCCGTCCCAGGGCCGTCTCATCCCAGCGGTCCCTCCGTCCAGGCCGGGGGTCGAAAGTGAGTCTTCGCTTCACGGTTGAGGGACTCGCTGAGAGTGACAGCCATTGGGGGTTACACTAGTTCCGCGGCGGGCGCGCGCAGACAGGGTGGCAGCCCCCTCTTGAAGGGGCGGGGCGGCCTCCATCACTCCCCGCCCACAAGCAAGTCCCCGCCCCTGGGTGGGTGGCACCGGGCTCCCGGTCTCCCTCCCCGGCGACCCCACGCCTTGTCACTTACCCTCTGGTCGCGGGTGACTGAGAACGCGCGCGCCACCGCTACCGCGTGGCCGCTGCAGGGGCGTGTGCGGAGGCGGCGCGCGGGGGAGGGGCGCGGCGTTCAGGTCGCTGAGGGAGGCGGGACGAGAGGGCGGAAACCTCCCATGCGGGCGACCGGAAGCTCCGCCCCAAACATGGCCGCGCCCAGAGGTCTCGTCGGAAGCCGTTCCTCCACCATCATGTGACGCGGGCCGTCGCCTCACCCGTCTGCAGCCACTCCCTGTCTCCGTCCCCAAGCTCGAGAGGACCACCTGACTCTGCCGGGGCCAGTCACGTGAGGCGCGGATCCTGGGTGGAAAGGGGTTGGCAGAGGGGTCTGGACTGGCAGTAAAGGAGGAAGATGGCGGGGTGCAGGGGGTCCCTGTGCTGCTGCTGCCGGTGGTGTTGCTGCTGCGGTGAGCGTGAGACCCGCACCCCCGAGGAGCTGGTAAGGAGCGGGCGGAGCCGGGCTGGGGAGGGGGCGGTTGCTAAGGGATGGCGAGAGGCGTTGCCGGGGGTGGGGCCGGGCTGAGCTGGGCCCGCAGGTGGCCGCGGGTGGGGTCTGGGGACTGCAGCCTGGCTCTCGAAGCATCTGCCCCTCTTCACCTGCCCAAGTCTAGGCGCTTTTCTCATAACCCGTCCCTGGAATCTGAGGAAGAATCCAGGCCAACTCCAGTTAATTTCATCCATGTTTTCTTTTATTTCTACCTGAAAGGAGTTTTGAATGAAACAGGCGTTTTCAGAATGAGCCCCTTCACTGGACTTTGTGCTTATCATGCAGCTGGCTCAGTTTCTCCAGCCCTTTCTCTGTCCCTCACCCTTCCTGGGTCACTGACAATCCGGCTTCCCTCTGCAAAGCATCCTGGGAATACTTGAGTTGCTGTGTCCCCAGAGTTGACAGGTCTCTTCTGATTGCAGATTCGGCATATTGTCAGATGGAACCTGAATTTTTTCGCCATAGGCTGGCAAGGGACATCTTTGACTTGTTCTGGAGACAAGAGTAGTTATTTGGAGAATGTACCAATAGAAATGAAGAGCTCAGCTGGATGATTGTAGGTCCCCACCCACATCACCCCCATCCCAAAAGTTTTTTTTGAAGTCTTGTTCCCATTTCATGATAATGGCTTCAGATGACTTAGATGCTAGCAACTGATTTCAGTAAATACTTCTGCCTCTTTCCACTTTTAACCATTAAAAGGATCTTCCTTCTGTGGATCTGTTTTTCTAGACCATCCTTGGAGAAACACAGGAGGAGGAGGATGAGATCCTTCCAAGGAAAGACTATGAGGTGAGATTGTTAGATGCTTTTTGGGTAACCTGACCTGGTCACTTTAGACCAAAGCATTGAGAGTCCAACCAGAGATGCTCTTTGACCTCTCCCAGGGAGTGAGTGGGTAAGAGGTAACTTCCCTCTGGGAAAGGGTCTGTTTAACAAACCCTTTTCTCACCTGAACCCCAAAACAGGGTCTGGGTGTGTTTCCATGCTTTCATAGATCTATGGCACCTTAACCTGGTTAGAGTATGCATTTGCCATGAAACTGTTTGCTTTTACCACTTGTAAAGACCCTGAGTCAAAGCCACTGACAGGGTGTGCTCATAACAGGCGTGAACCGGGAGACCTTGCTTCTCTTCTGAAAGAACTTCGTTTTCAGATGATTGTTTCGTACCTGAGCAGCTTCCTCTTTGAAACGTTCTTGATTGTAGTTCCCGGTTTCAAGTATGGGCATCTTAGAGTGTGTGTATGTTTAGTAAGGCCAACGCTCCTGGGGTGAAACTTAACATGCATGCTTTTTTATCGTTTAATCAGCTCATGATGACATTTCTGTGACTTTTGAAAAGAAAACAAGCCATGGTTGTGATAGAGAATTCTTAAACTATTTACAAAAAGAAGCTAGAGAAAAACCCATAACCCGACTCGTTAAAAGATGATTATTAACTGTGCTAAATATCCTTGTCCATACTTACATACATGCTTTTTTTAAGTAACAAAAGTGAGATTTTATTAAATATACTATTTTAACATGTTTTCCCCTTGCTTTATAACAATTTTTGTATTGCTAGATATTTTTCTATAATATCTTTTTAAGTAGAGGAATAGTATTTTATTGTGCCACAATTTATTTAGTCTGACTTTTCTGTATGATAAACTGCATAGTCGTGACCATCCTTTCTTGTTCATCCTTAATTGCTTCCTTAGGGTTAATTCCAAGAAGTGAAATTAATCATGTATGTTACATGCTTTTGTTTTTAATGTAGACTTCAAAAATAATATTCTAGAGCAATAACATATCCAGACTAATTTTCTTTTTTATGTTTCATCTTTTGCTGTAGAATTTAGTGTAACTATTAAAATTTGTAGTGTAGCATGAAATTTTTAAAAAACTTTTATTATAGAGAATTTCAGACATATACAAAAGTAGACAGAATAGTATATTGGAACCCCCCGTATTCATCACACAGCTTCAAGAGTCATTCAGCTCATGCCCACCCTGTTTCATTTGTGCTCCTAGCTACTTCCCCCTTCTCATATTATTTGGAAGGAAATTCTATATGTCACATCATTTCACCCATAAATAATTCAACGTGCATCTCTAGAGGATAGGGACTTTTTTTAGCATAACAATACCATTTCACAACTAGGAAATTAACAGTAATTCCTTGATAGCAAATATCCAGCGTTCAGATTTTCCAGTTGTCTTATAAATGTCATATGTACAGTCATGCATTGCTTAACGACAGGGATACACTCTGAGAAATGTGTCATTAGGCGATTTCGTTGTTATGTGATCATAGAGTGTACTTACACAAACCCAGACAGTATAGCCTACTACACACCTAGGCTATATGGTGCTAATCTCATGGGACTGTTGTCATATGCAGTCCGTCATTGGCTGAAACGTCATTATGCGACACTTGACTGTATTTTTTTAATAGTTTGTTTCAATAAGGTTCCAAATAAGGTCCTCCCTTTGCATTTGTTTGATATATCTTTTAAATCTCTTTTAGTCTGAAGGTTCCTCCATCTTTTTTTTTTCCCTTGCCATTTACTTGACACAATAATTTCAGGACTCTGGAATTTGCCAATTGCCACACCATGGTAGAGTTTAATGTGCTAATTTGCTGGGAGTATTTTTAATGCATCAAAAAGTATCCACTGATGTATTTGCTCATATTTCTTGAATATTTGTTTGCTTGTACATAGTTGAGAAGTTTGCAAGAATTAGTACATATAAGACTCCCTCATTGAATCCAGTGATATCATCCTGACTGTGTAACCACTTCTGAAACTCTCTCGCAGCCTTCAGCCTACTCCTGGGAGCTCATCATGGCTTCTCTGCTCCACTGACCCTACTGTTCCCAAGGTTCCTTCACTCCTTTCACTAAATTGCTCTTATATTTGTAATGCATTTACTTTCAGCTGATATGCATGTTTATGTAAATGTTGTGGGTTAATGTTCTTTCATGTGAGGCATTAATATTTCTCAATTAGCTGTCTTTTCATATGAGCTTCTTGAGAGCATTTGCTTTGTGTAAGGGCAAATTCAGCTAGGCACTTACTCAGAAAAGTCTGCTCATTTTATTAGGGATCGACTAGAAAACCCTTCTGTTGAACATCTTTCTAAAATGTGCTCCTTCTTCTTGCCTTTTTAAGAGTTCATTGCACATACTTCACTCTTTCTTTGATAAGTTGGGAGTCTTTCAAGATGTTAGAATCCCCGTTTCAACATCCATTTTCATTATAGGTGGTTTGAATAATGATAACTGCCTATCTGGGGACAGGCCGTTACCAAACAGTAATGTTTTCAGGTCACAGAGCCTGTATTGCTCTTTTGAGTTAGGAAAAGGCACTCCTTAGAGCAGAAGACTTAGAATAAAAGGCCTCCCCACTGTGGGCCTTAGCAACGCCCCTAGCTCATGGCCCATTGAAGGTGCTTTTTGTGTGAGCACTTAGGGGCCCTTCCTGGTTGAATTTGGGCTGCATTTCAGCCCCTACTTGCCCCCACAACCAGGTGCCACTTTGCTCATAACTATGGGCAGCAGCCCTGCAGGACACCTATACACATTTTATTTAAAAAAAAAAGCAAAGTTGTTAGTCCCCCAAACCAAAGAGCAACATATACAGCAGAAATAAAAGAAAGTTAGTCACAGCAAAGGGGAAGTAACAGTATCTGGTTTTAATGACAGATCATATAGTCCATTGGTACATATTTACAAAGTGTCAAACTCTCAACCAATTATTTAAAAAAGAAAAGATTGATGTTCTGGTGATGCAGTTGTTTCTAAATATCCCTTTTGACAGCTTTATTGAGCTATAATTCACATTCTATACTGTTGACCCATTTAAAGTGTGCAGTGCAGTGTTTTTTTGGTATATTTACAGAGTTGTGCAACCATCACCAAATCAATTTTAGAACATTTTCGTCACCCAAAAAGAAACCCATACGCATTAGCAGTCACTGCCCTTTCCCCTCGCCCCTGACCCTAGGCCACCACTAATCTACTTTCTGCCTCTGGAGATTTGCCTATTCTAGACATCTAAAAACCTTTTAAATGTTTGTGGAGCCGTAGCATTATTAAACAAAACCATCAAGCAAATAATTAGCCAGTAATTCTGTACATATTTGGTATGAAGGATATTTATGTTTTTCAACGTTTTTGTTTACATACGTATATATACATACATATGTACTTAATCATTCATGGATGAGTCTAGTTTCCCAGTAGAAGTATTTTTTACTGACTGTCGTTTTTTGTTTTGTAATCAGAAAAAAGTAATTTCTTTTTTTTTTGATTGGTGGGCTTCAAGCATTTATGGTAAGGTTTTAAACACTTATGACAGGGTTCTAAACATTTATAATGGGGTTCTAAACATTTGTGTTGGGGTTCTAAACATTTTTTTATTAATGTCATAATAGTTTATAACTGAAATTCCAGTTGTACATTATTATAAAAACTACACCACATTTGCCGTGAGAATTTTATACAGCACCCCGATGTGAACACCTCCTCAAACACCACCTCAGAGAACCACTGTTAAATTTTCCCAGATGTTTTGCAGTGTATACTGACATACAAATAATCTTAATTTTATTTAATCAAAATGGGATAATATTATACATTTTATTCTGCATCTGGCTTGATTGATTGATTTTGCATCTTGCCGTTTTTACTTGATAATTTTTGCACATTTTCCACGTCTTTCTGTATAGACCTGTCATAATTGTTTTCCTGCTACGCAGTCTTCCGTATTTGGATGTATGATAATTGATTTAATCCGTCGCCTGTTGATGCTCGAGGACCCTTTTAAAGATAGAATTTGGACTTGGGATAGTCGTATAGATGGAATCAGTTGCCACATGCCGCACTGGTGTGTGCTGACTGCTGACTTTTGCCTGGGAGTGTGGCCGCCGGCCCAGAGTCCAGGTTGTTTACCAGCTGACGTGTAAGTGGCAACAGGTTATGGGAAGGAGAGAGCACACAGCAGACCGTTCTCCTTTGTTGCCACACTGCTGCCTCTCGTAGCTGTGTTCTGTGAAGCATGGTTTAAAGAACGCTGGTGTAGACGTAGCTTTAGGAGCTGGGCTGCATCTGTGCCTTTTCCTAACATAAAGTGGAAGTTGTTTCAAAATAGTCTCCACAGTAGTTTGTCTCGTGACCACCCCCTTTTTCATAGACGCTAACTATAGAAGATACTTACAATTAATTGACTTTCTAAATGAATTTGGTTCTGGTTAATTGAAGCTTTTGTTCATCTAATGGAGTGAGTTGGGTAACTCTGGTGATAGTTGAAGGTCTTTGAATGTTTTGCAGAAACAGGGCGTTTAAAGATGTGTAATTTAAAGCTTTTCCTAAAGCATGAGGCTGTGCTCCTGAAATGTTAATGCACAAAAAGTGCAGATTCTGACGCTGCAGGTCTGAGCGCATTTCTCACGAGCTCCTCCTGGGCACTGCAGGTGCCACTACACTGCGCATCCACAATTCTGGTAGCAGCAGCCTAGAGTTTTATCCCTTTCCAGGTTTGGTAAATCTCCCTCTCTGGTTGTGACGTTTTTACTCCCATGTCCCTCTTTCAGAGTTTGGATTATGATCGCTGTATCAATGACCCCTACCTGGAAGTTTTGGAGACCATGGATAATAAGGTGAGTTCCTTATCCATCTCTTAGGACTGGGTAGGTCTGAAGGCAAGCTTTATTTTTCTGGTCTAAATGCTCCAGTAAATATCCTTGTAACCCTTGGTCTTTTAACCCGTTTTGTGAGATATCAGCATTTATTCCTTAGACCTTCACCCTGCCAACCAGAGTACCCATTGTCAGTGCACCTGGCCCAGCCCCTTAGAGTTCATCATCCTTTCATCGTAAAGGACCCTCCATCCCAGCCATCATCTTCACCATGCTTGCCGTCCAGGTGGAATTCAGTCTAAACCTGATTGGCCAAGATGTGTTCCTTCCCTGCTGCCATCATAACCCGGTACCAAACTGAGTCATTCTTTTCCTGTGTGAACAGAAAGGTCGCAGGTATGAGGCGGTGAAGTGGATGGTGGTGTTTGCCATTGGAGTCTGCACTGGGCTGGTGAGCAGGCGGGACATGGGGAGATGGTGGGCCTCGGGTGGAGGGGGTCAGAGGGCAAGCTCTAGCCTGGCAAAGAAGTTGTTTGTCGTTATAACAGACTGCCTTTTCTTTTTATAATGTAATAATCCTGTCACTGCTTTTCAAACTTCTTTTGCTTTCGCTTAATGAGATGATGGTGAGCCATGGACTCTAGTGCTGTTTAAAGCACTTAAAGGCTTGGTCACAACCAGTTTCTTATGATATGGTATGGTCCCATCAGGTAGATACACAGTGGGGAGAGTACTTAGTGGATATTGAGGTCGCTCTGTAGGGAAAAGGCAAAGTAGTGGGAACAAAGCTGTGAACATTGCCCTTTCCTTTAGCATAGCATGCCAGTAAACAGGACACTGTAGATCTCAGTGGATTTATTGTGCTCTCCTGGGCTTCTTCCCTACACATTGCTCATTGTATTTAGAAGGCAGAGCTGGGGGTTGTGGGTAGAAGAATGTGCCTGAACGCACAGGGTTCTGAGGTCAGCACGTTCACAGATGACTCACAGACAAGAAAAGATTATGAAACATTGCCAGAGTGTAGTAGCACGAGGTCTGGACCATAACTGCTGACTTACCACAGTTAAACCTGGAGAAGAGAAGCTGGGAAAGTCAAAATGATATATGTCACATTTGATTTTCCATGGAAGGGGAGGAAGACTATCCTCTACCCACTCTGGGTCCTTCCAGCTGAGCTACAAATTAAATTGACATGAGACCGAATAGCAGGAGAAAATCAAACAAAGCTTTATAACATGTATACATGGGAGAGACCCAGGGAAACTGAGTATCTCCACAAGATGGCCAAGGTTCTCATCTTTAAATAGCATATTCAGGTAAAGACAAAGGAGGATGTTGGGGGTGGGGGGAGTCAGCTATGGGACATTACCAGAAAGCACAGTAAACAAGAGTATTCAGATTTAAGTCCTCACCTTCTGCACTGATAACAGTTTCTAGAGATAAGGTCATCTCTCCTTCTTCCTGCTACAGAGAGGGAGAAACCTTTACAAATGGAGATTTCTCTTATAAATGTAAATGTCTCTTACAAAGGATAACTTCTACTTTTACTTGGAATGGGCTTAGCAATGACCTTCCCAGTTTATCCATACCCAGAGTTAAATTCTTTTAGGCAGTTAGGGGGCTGGGGGAGATCAAAGTTTCTTTCAGAGGAAAATAATCAAGGTAAAGAGACATATTTTGAGGTGGCCAATTCTGATCCCCCACACCATCAATACCGTGTTAGAATAGGGGGTTCTCTTAGTCCATTCAGGCTGCTATAACAAAAATACCATACATTGGGTTGCTTAAACAAGAGACATTTATTTCTCATAGTTCTGGAGGCCAGGAAGTTAAAGATCAGGGTACCAACAGATTTGTGTCTGGTAAAGGCCCGCTTCCTGGTTCATATGTAGTTATCTTTTCACTGTGTCCTCATGGAGCAGAAGGGGCAAGAGGGCTCTCTGGGGCCTCTTTTACAAGGGCACTAATCTTATTCATGAGGGTTCTACCGTCATGACCTAATCACCTCCCACAGGCCCCACCTCCTGATACCATCACATTGGGGGTTAGGATTCCAACTATATGAATTTTGAGGGGACACAAACATTCAGTCCGTAACGGGTTCTGTATATTCCTAAGCAGCAGCCTGTTTATCACTCTTGTCTACAACTGACTACAAGTCTCATACTTAATTCTACATGGTATACCCATAGTGTGTAAATACCTATTTAATATAATATAGCCACAAAGGCGACCACAACGTTTGTCTTCACAGCGCTTGTCAAATTTTTACTGTAGTAAATTCAGAAGTCAAAGAACATCCTACTAGTTAAGACTAATGACATTCAGAAGGCTTCTTTGGTAACATTCTGATGGATACCATTGTGGGCGGAACTTGGCTTGATTTAATCGTTTTATTGAAGTCTCAAAGTGTCTTTTTTTGCTATCCAGTCAAGCGTCACTTGGCGATGGGCATGTGTTCTGAGAAATGCATTGTTAGGCTATTTCGTTGTGCAAAGATCATAAAGTGTGCTTACACAAACCTAGATGGTACAGCCTACTACACACCTAGGCTATATGGTACTAATCTTATGGGACCACCATCATATATGTGGTCCATCGTTGTCTGAAACATTGTTATGTGGCACATGACTGTATATGTTTCTGGTTGCAAATTTCCCTGTAATAAGCATAGTCATTAGCTCTCTAGTTGTTAGTCTTTCTGTTACTTTCATATCAAACTCCTTTGAACTGCTATATATCAGTACTAGCAGCTTTACCTCGCACCCTGATGTTCTAGGAAGGGAGACCTGCTTTTATAACATAGCACCCAGCTTTTCTTTCTACTGGCCTCATATCCTTTGATCTGTCACCATTTATTGCTTCAGTATTGAAAAGCCTCCAGGCATTGGCTTGAGGAAAGGCCAGAGTTAAAGGTGTGAAGCCTTTGATCCTGAATCCACAAAATCACAAGTGTTTCTAGTTCTCCTTTAAGCCCCAAGCAAGAATTTATGAGAGTAGAATAGTGGAACATGAGTGGTTTTCTCTTGTTTACCAGGGTTATCATTAGCTATAAGATGATTATAAGTCAAAATAGTGACTTACAAAATATAAAATACTAATAACAAACATGCAAAAGCCATATACACCTAAGTGGATGTTGTCTTTCCAAGTAATGCCCTAGGCTGTATGCTTATCCACCGAAGCATCACTGAAGACATTTTTGGAATTCTTCTTCTGAAACTGCCTTGGGAAAGAGCTGAGGGGTTCCTCACACAACTCCATATTGTTACTCTCTGATCACGGATGGTGTTCCTTGGTCTCACATCTTTTTCCCCCTTTGTTTTACTTTCCTTCACTCAGCTGTACCCCCTTCCTTTGTTCTTTGGAGGGGCGGTGGGGCCAGGCTGGAGGACGATCTCCCAGAGAGAGTCAGTGACCAACCATCATGCGTTGCCTGTTGGTAACACGGGTGCGAGTGCCCTGTGAAGGCAGTGGGGAAGTCGATGCTGTCGAGGGAAGTGCCTGTAACACAGCACAGACAGGCATGTGACGCTCACTTGCTCTTCACAGGTGGGTCTCTTTGTGGACTTCTTCGTGCGCCTCTTCACCCAGCTCAAGTTTGGAGTGGTACAGGCGTGTATCCTTTTCACGGTTCTTGGTGTTCCCAGGCCGTCAGCACTCGCTGCCTTTGCTTTCTTGTCTAGAAATGAGTTTAGCGCTAGACATGATCTTTGAAGAGCTATTTATTAGCCATTCGGCTTTAAGGTTTTTAATTATCGTTGAACGACACAAAAGGAAGACTTTAATAAATAGAGAGGGACTCATGTTCATGGTTGGTGAGACACAAATACCACAAAGATGTCTGTTCTCTCCAATTAATCTGTAAATTCAGAGCAGTTCCAATCAGAATTCTGATAGAATTTTTCGTGGAACTCGAAAATTCTCTTCCTAAATTTGTTTGGAAGAGTAAAGGGCCGAAAGTAGGCAAGGCAGCTTTGAGCAACAGATGGGGGACTTGCTCCAGTAGATGTCAAGACTTATGTGATTGAAGATATAGTCATTGAAACAGCATCATGTTGGCTCGGGAATACCCAGTTAGACCAGCAGAAAACAATAGAGAAGCAGAGACTGGCCCGTACACTTGCAGATGTACGGTGAATGACAGAGTTAGTGCTATAAATCAGTGAGGAGGAGATGGATTATTTAATAAAACATGCTGGGACATGGGTTATCCATCTGGAAAAATATAAAATTAGGTTCCTACTTTGTACTATAAGTTAATTCCAGACGGATTGAAGATGTAAATAGGCAAAACCAAACTTTAAGAGACTATATGATGTCAAGAGTAGGGAGTAATTTCTTAAAACTCCAGAAGGCATGAATGAAAGGGAAAAGATTAATAAGCTTGACCACATCTAAGTAAGTATTCTGCTTAATCAAACAAGCAAAAAACCCCGAACAACAACATTAAGTCTCCGTAAACAAAGTGGAAGACAGTTCCTAGTCTAGGCGAGGTTGTTCATTATGCATTTAAGAGACAGATAATTAGTATCCAGAATACAGGAAGAACTGCATCTCGATAAGAACAAAGCCCAAACAGCCCAATAGAAAAATGAGCAAAGGAAGTGAACAGGCAATTCTCAGAAGAGGAAAACGGCCAATAAATAAACCTGTGGAAAAGTGCTCACCTCACCACTAACCAGGGGAATGCAGATTAAATACATAGGAAAGTGCACCTTCTCTGACTCATGAATTCCACTTCAGGATGTGGGCCTTAGACGTGTTCAAAGATGTTCATTGCAGCCTTGTGATTGTGAAAAGTTGAAATCACATCAAATGGAGAATGGAAAAAATGTAGTATGTTCATATGATATAATTTTATGCAGAAGTTAAAATGAACGAACGAGGGCTGTGTGTATCAACATGGCTAATTCTCAAAAAGTTAATATTGAGGGAGCAAAAAAGGAAGTAGTAGAATGTGCATAAAGTGCAATACCATTGTTTTATTTTAGAAACATATAGAACAGTATGGCTACATATGAAAATATACAGGGAAGGATGCACAATAATTTTGGGTTAGTGGTTTCTCCCAGGGGAGTAAGAGAGGGAAACAGGTTTTTTTTTTTAATGTTATCTGATTTTTTTTTTTTTTTTTTTGGTGAGGAAGATCAGCCCTGAGCTAACATCCATGCCAATCCTCCTCTTTTTGCTGAGGAAGACTGCATCTTCCTCCACTTTATATAGGACACCGCCACAGCATGGCCTGACAAGCGGTGCATCAGTGCACCCCCGGGATCCAAACCCGGGCTGCCAGCAGCAGAGCACAGGCACTTAACCGCTACGCCACAGGGCCGGCCCCTGATGTTTTAATATTTAAAAAATATCTGGAGCAAATATGGCATAACCTTGAGATTTGTTAAAGCTGGGGCTGTGGAGGGATGGTGTTGGTTGCTTTCTGTAATGTGTGAAGTATTTCATAATTTACAAATGGTTCCTAATGCAGAAGACATCCCAGGCAGTTTTTTTAAAAATTCTGTATGGAGAACAGGAAGATGTGCAGTAAGCGGCCAACATGTTTTAGGAGAAGCTGCCCCTTTTCACGGGGTTGCAGGAGCACCCCTGGCTGGCGAGCACTGTGTCCTTAACCCAGAGTCCTCAGCGGTGGAGGAATGTAGCCAGAAAGGCTGCCTCGCCCTGTCCCTCCTTGAACTTTTGGGTTTCAACTTGACCTTTGCCTTCTTGGCGAGCCTTCTGGTCCTCATCGAGGTGAGGTGGTGTGGGTGTTGCCTTTTCGCTTATGAGGTTTTGGATTCCTGCACTCATTTTCTCCATCTCCATTTTTGGCATGTCAGGAAACTGAGTTAGACTTAGAAGATAGATTCCTGCAGAAAGTGGCCTCTCATTCACTTAGAGATGTCTCTGAAAGGAAAGATTTCAGCCTCTGATGAGATTAAAGAGGAAAAACCTAGATTAGGAGAGTGGTTCTCAACCTTGGCAGCACATTAAAATCACCTGGGGAACTTTAAAAATGACTTTAAATAACTCTAAAATACTTTAAACTTTTAATACTTTAAAATAACTTTAAAAATGGCTGATACCCAGCTCAGACGAATGAGATCAGAATCTCCGGAAGTGGGGTGCCTTTGTTGAGTGTTGAAAGGCCCCCCAGGTGATGCTGAATCACCGGGAACTTATTAGAAATGCAACTCCTCCATCTCCCCCTGCCCCCAACCTAGTGAGTCAGAAACCCAGGTGGGGCCCAGCATCTGTGCTTTAACAGGCCCACCAGCTGATGCTGATGCTGCTAATGAGGAGGGTCGGTTTGCCCTCTTTAGGGAGGTTGTTGAGGGTAAGCCATAGAACCAGTGGATTTTGAGGTCATGGTGTGCCTGCTCTCCCCTGGCAGCCAGTGGCAGCAGGTTCTGGGATACCCGAGATCAAGTGCTATCTGAACGGTGTGAAGGTGCCCGGAATCGTCCGTCTCCGGACCCTGCTCTGCAAAGTCTTTGGGGTGCTATTCAGTGTGGCTGGAGGTAAGGGGGGTTTCCTGACTTTTGTCCTTCAAATGTTTAAGGGGTGAAGATGACAAGAAGCATTATGTATATAAATTAAGTAGATTTGGATTTCAAGGTCCTGCCGTCAGACAGATCTCTGCACTTTTTTAAATGCAGACACTATTAGTAAGTTACCATCCAGAGATATCTGACAAACACAACATTTCCTTTTGAAGTAGAACAACCATCTAGTTGGTTTGTGGAGTTGGCTTTTAGCAAAGTCAGCAAGCTTTTTGTGTAAATGGCCAGATAGTAAATATTTTAGGCTTTGTGGACCAAGAGGCAAAATGGAGGATATTATGTAGGTACTTAAACTTATGTAACCATTTAAATGTATCCATGTAGGAAGGTAAAAACCATTCTTAGCTCTCCTGCTGTACAAAAACGGGCAGCGAGCTATAGTTTACTGATCTCTGATTTAGAGTTTAAAAAGTATTTTCTCTTATTTGCTGGGAATTTCACCCATTCTTTCTCTTATAAAGTCATGTGATTATCCCTGGTTTATAGTTGTCAAGAGAAAGGTCTGCATAGCAAAGGTCTCCTGACATAAAGACTTTTCTGTGCTGATGGTCTCCCCCGTTTCCCCCTGTCCCCAGGGCTCTTTGTGGGGAAGGAAGGCCCCATGATCCACAGTGGAGCAGTGGTGGGAGCTGGCCTCCCTCAGGTAAGGGGCGACGGGCTGGGAGGGTGCCGCCATCAGAGTGGGCCTCCTGGCAGGCGCATGTCCGTGGTTGAATTCAGAAAAAATCCATTGGGAGCTCCCTAACGTGGCTTTGGAATCTGATGTCAGTTTGGTTTGACGTGAAAACTGTGTGGTCTGTCTCCCAGGAGAGCGGGTAACTGGTACCTCGAGGTTTTAACAAGGCCCTGCAGTGTCCTAGGAGCAGAAATGGGACGTAGAGAAAGTCTGTTCAAATGAAAGTCACCTGGGGTTCCCTCAGTGATTGCCGAGCACCCCTACATGCGGAATCTTGGTGGAGCATCTCGGTGCTGCCAGATCCCAAGAGGCTGGAAGCATTGACCGAGGTTCACAGGTCTGTGTGGATTCCGTTTGAAGCAGCGCGGGAATAACGGCTGCTGTTCATTAAGTACTGTCTGGGCCAGACTGTATACCGACTCCTTTCTTCCTTGAAGCCACCCCAAGGGTTTAGTGGTCCTCATCGTCCTCATTCTCAGATGAGGAAACAGGCTTAGAGAGGCTAAGGAGCTAGCTCAGGACTCCACAGCAGCCCTTCTTATGGGCTATCCCAGACTCCCAGGCTGCAAGCTTGAGAAGTCTCAATTCCTTGTGAAGCGTCACTTCTAGACGGTTCCCTCTCATATTTGGAGGGGAGGGCGTTCCTGTGACTGGGAGTTGTCGAAGCAAAGGAGAGAAGACTTTCGTCCAGAGCTGCTTTTTGATCTCTCTCTGGCTACTGCCTCATCTCCTTCCCGTCGAGCTGCAGCCTCCCAGAAGTCACCTAAGAGGTGGGGGAGGCCAAGCAAGGACTGGGCGCAGCGTGAGGGTTTGCTGGACAGATTGGAAGGCGGTGCCCCAGGCCCTTCCTTACCCGCCTCCCCTGAGCAGAGCTGACTCGGTCTTCTCAGCTTTCAGTTCCTCCAGCCCCTCGCTCGGCTATTTCCCCTTTTTCTGTCTGACTTGTTGACTACGTACAAAATGCAATTGCTGAAGGTCCTAGAAATTTGGGGGCAGGAAAAGAAGTTCCTCCCAAAAGTAACTTCTTTCTTTCCAGGTTGTTATTCTGGACTCTTCCTTCTTGCAGCACGTCTGCCCAGGTGTGCTCAAGCAACGGGGACTCCCCCAGGGCTGTGGATTCCTGCAGATTTGGTCCCTGTGGACCGTGCTCTGACTTGGTTTTCTCTTGCTCTAGTTTCAGAGCATCTCTTTACGGAAGATCCAGTTTAACTTCCCCTATTTCCGAAGTGACAGGTATGGAAACGTTAGGAATTGGGTTTTTTTGAAAACAACAACCTGTTCATTTATAGCCGCTCAGACCCGATACTTGCTCATAATCTAGGCAGGCTGCATGCGAAACCAAACCGTTGGAAAGGAGGTGGGCTTTGAATTATTCTTCTGAAAATAAGCACAAGGGCCAAGCTGGCATCACTGTTTCTGTTTTGTCGTGACATAAGGCCTAGAAGCATCTCAGGCAATGAAGAAGGCAGTCCAAGATTAAAAACATAACCAAGAAAGTCCACAGGCATGTTATCAAGAATGTATTTTGTGTTCCAAAGCAATTCACTTGGTCAGCTGCCTTCCTGGGTTGGACAGTGCTCTTCTGGGTACTTTTTCGCCACGTGGGATTTGTGTGGGTGACTGTCCTGCACACTTTGCAAGGGGCCCAGGGTCAGAGTTGTGGTCCACCTTCTTGTCTTGGTATTTCTGCAAGTCATTGTTACTTGCACCTCTGCATGTCACCAGCACCTTGACATTTTCTCTGATGCTCTGGCTTTCTGAAAGGAAGATCTGGTGAGAATGTGGCTCAGCAGTGATTGCCACAAATCTTGGATCCATCTCCTGAGCTGGGGCTGAGATTCCGTGTTCAGAGTAGACTGGCGTCGAGGAACCCTCCACCTGGAGGACATCCGATTGGGGAGAGGGTTTGGCTCTTAGGGAAGCCATATTTGCTGCCGAGTCTGCCTCACCTGAGACCTGCGCTTCATAAGCTCTGACTTCGTGGGTCATGAGATGATGTGCTGGTGGATAAGGAAGTGAAGAACTGCCTTTTGCAGCCTGAGGGCCTGCTCTTAGATAAACCATCTCTCTCTCCTCTCCTCAGAGACAAGCGGGACTTCGTATCAGCAGGGGCGGCTGCTGGAGTCGCTGCAGCTTTCGGGGCTCCCATTGGCGGTACCTTGTTCAGTCTGGAGGAGGGCTCATCCTTCTGGAACCAAGGGCTCACATGGAAAGTGGTGAGGAGGACGTGTAGTGAAAAGCTTCTCCTAAACTTAACCATACCCCCAGAATTTAAATTGGACGTGTCTTACTCGATACATTTACCTTTTGTTTTGATGAGACTGCGAGGGTTGACTTTATTGGAAATTCCTTTTCTCTAGACACCTCTAACCCCCAAACTAGAGACTTTTCTATACTTTTCATATTAATGGCCTCCCCATCCCCAAATCAAACTCCTGTTATCCTCTCTTGATGAACCATCTGACATGAAAACATGAAACTCACTGTGGTCATAAGACTCGAACCCCAGTCTCCTACCTCAGGGTAGCGTGTTCTTCCTTCTGTGTTTACTGTTCCTTTTTGGCACAGGATCTGGTCCACAATAGGCTCTAAATAAATAGGCTCTCACAAGAGGCTGGTGAATGAGAACTTCTTATTGCCTCATTTACAGGTTTGCTCACTTTTTTTCCCTGTACCCAAACCTAGAGTTTGCAGGTTTCTGTGTGGAGCAGTAGGTTTTATGAGGATGTGTCGGGGAGAAAGGAGGACTTGTCACTATTGAGTGCTCTTGTTTTTGTCCCCTGTCCCCCAGCTCTTTTGTTCCATGTCTGCCACCTTCACCCTCAACTTCTTTCGTTCTGGGATTCAGTTTGGAAGTTGGGGTTCCTTCCAGCTCCCTGGATTGCTGAACTTCGGCGAGTTTAAGGTATGTTTTGTCCTTTCCCCCAGAATTTCTTTCTTGAGCCATGAAAATTGCTCTTAAGCAAAGTACCAGAGAGAAGAGATCGGAAGGGTAGGTACAGCTTCCAGTGGGGCGTCTCTGCCCCGTTAGTCTCCCGTGCATGCCGCGTGCTTGGTGTGGGCAGGCTTCCAGCACTGCACTGGCCCTTGTTTCTGTCTTCTCCGCTTCTGTCCCTTCTTGTTCTCATGGGCACTATGGTTTTTCTCTCTCTCTCTCCCTTGCCCCCTCTCTCAGTGCTCTGACTCTGATAAAAAATGTCATCTCTGGACAGCTATGGATTTGGGTTTCTTCGTCGTGATGGGGGTCATTGGGGGCCTCCTGGGAGCCACGTTCAACTGTCTGAACAAGAGGCTTGCAAAGTACCGTATGCGAAACGTGCACCCGAAACCTAAGCTCGTCAGGTACCTGTGCAGTCGCCTCCCCCCAGCCTGCCGTGGCTCCCTGAGCTTTGTGTGGACCAGGCCATCTCTCCCGAGGAAGGCGGTTATGTGGGCAGACCCTGCATCCCACACCAGCTTTGATGTCTCGTCTAAGACCGAGAATGTAGACGGGCTCATAAATCTCTATTTGTCAGACAGGCCGAAAGGCTGAGTCTGAGCTTAATTTATATGAGAGTTGCTGGTTGATGCCCAGCCTCTCCTGACTTGCCTCTAGGACACGTGATCAAGTCCAAAGGGTCAGTGAGACTCTCGCCTCTGGGACCCAAAATGGAAGACCATTCCATTCCTCGGAGAGAGATGATGTGGACGCACAGCCCACGTTACTGGCTGCCTACTTTTTATGTACAAATTGCTAGAACGCAGCAAGTCGCTGACAAATTCTGCGCATGAGCTGACTGACTGGGGCTGCTGTGCATGCTCTGTGGGGAAATGAAGGGTGGGGGTAGGCAGTGTTGTGTTTTCGCGTTCCCAAGACCAGGGTGTCTTTTTCTCACCTAGTAACAGCTGTGCTTTGCTTCCTAGAGTCTTAGAGAGCCTCCTGGTGTCTCTGGTAACCACCGTGGTGGTGTTTGTGGCGTCGATGGTATTAGGAGAATGCCGACAGATACCTTCTTCGAGTCAAATCGGTAATGACTCATTCCAGCTCCAGGTAACCCCAGCGCACCTGCTGCCTTTGCCCTGTGCCCACAAAGAAGGATCCAGAAATGTATGACTTGCCTCTATTTAGAGCTAATAGACGTGTTGGGTTCATTGATCCACACCTGTGTCAGATTGCTAAGAGACAGAGGAGTGTGTAGTAGTCTTTTTACCTAAGAAAGGGTGTGTGCCCTCTACCTTTTTCCTTTTGTGCACAGTCCTGGCCATCATAGAGGGGAGCTCTTCTCTCTCTCTCTCTCTCTCTCTCTGTCTGTTGAACGAAATCAATTGGAAACAAGCTCAGGCAGCGGACCGTCCACCTCTTCTCCAAGCCCCAGTTTGCTCTTCTACCTTTCCACGACTGGAAGGCGCCTCCAGCCTCAGCCCCCAGATTGTGAGAGCCTCCTGTAAGCCAGGAGAAAGGAATGTCTGCCTCAGGGCGAGCGGTGATCCTGCCTCTTCCTGTCTTTCTGTGGTTCTACTGGGTGTAGGTCAATTCCTGGCATACGTCCTTCTTGCGTTTCTCCTTTCCCCTTCTTAGGAGAATGTGGTATTTTCCAGAACCTTTCCCTGAAAGAGCAGAGTCAATGAGGTAGGTGTTGGAGCTTACTCTACTCTGTGTTTTTGGTCCAACCCAGTGGGTCTGAGATCTAGACTGTGGTGGTTCTGGCCTCTAAGTGGAGGCTAGGGAGTGTTCACTAAGTGCCTGGTCTTGTTGTTGCCCCTGAGTAGCCCCTCGAGTCCCTCAGGGCCCCTGTGGGGCCTTTGTCTTGGGTGGCTGCCTCTTCAGTGTCCCCAGGAGCAGTCCAGAACAGCTAGAACATTTTAGATCAGGTCTTGGCAAACTGCGGTTCACGGGCCAGATCTGGCTCTTGGCAACCACTTGTGTTGGTGTAGCCCCCGAGCTAAGAATGACTTTTACATTTTTAAAGAGTTGGGAAAAAAAGAAGAAGATGCAACAGAGACTGTACAGTCTAAGGTGTTTACTGTCTGGCTCTTTACAGAGAACATTTGCTGAGCCCTGTTCCTGGTGATTCTCAAGGCCACTTCATTACCAGACCAGTATTTTCCAAAATGTGTTCTAGGAACAGTCATATATATGATTCAAAAATAGATGGAAAAGGATTCTGTGGTCAAATGGGTTAGCCAGAATTAAATATATTTCTTTAATACAGGACTTCACAGGGCCTTTGAAATTCCAGTAAGGGTTATGAATGTTTAGCATGTGTATTGTGTGCTAGGTATCCCACTAAGCACTTGACACACATGATCTCATTGGTAATCCTTACCACGGCCATGTTGGCTAGTATTATTATCCCCATTTTACAGATGAAACAACTGAGGGCAAATGAGGTCCTGACCAAGATCACTCAGCTGGTGATATATAACATGAGGGGGTATCATTCCCATCTTATAGATGAGGAAACTGAAGCTTCACAAAGTGGAATACCTTTCCCACGGTTCCTAGAGAGGGGCAGAGTGACAGTCGAATCCGTTTGGTTATGGAGCCCCTTTTAGCAGATACTCTGATTTGCAGCAAGTGATGTGGTGCTTGTCAGTGCATCTGACCGCAGGACTCTTTCCAGGGAGCCTCCAGGCCAGCTGTTCCTCTAGACGTAGTTGGGGAAACGTTGCATATGTTGACTGTTACGATCTGGTCTCAGCTTGTCCACCATTCATTGTTCTCCTGTGCCAGCTCCTCTCTGTAGGGGATAGGGGCCGCTGTCCTGTTTCCTACGGCAGCCTTCATCCAGCCCTATGGCCTGCCAGGTTCACCTGGTAGAATTACACAGACCCATCTCCTGGTCTTGTTACAGTGTCCACATAAGGGCATCTCTACAGTGTCATCAATAGAATTGAATCTGGACAGATCGTATCCTTAATGAACTTTGTAGTGACACTCTGTATCGTATGCCTGGTGATAGATGTGAAGTCCACCCCCTGTGCTATTGTACCATCAGCCAGAAAACAAGACCTCCACATACCCTTGCCCTCTCATGAGTCCTGCCCCACCAGGGTCTCACTTCCCACACAAAATAGTGGAGAGAGTGAGAGGTCTGAAGTGTGGAAAGATAATCTCGTCTTTTCCCACTTTGGGTTTATTCAGCTGGGTGGGTCTCGGGGGGAGAGGTGCCCAGGGACACGTTATCTGCATCCAGCCTCACGTGGAAGTGGGTTTTCTTCAGCAAATTCGGGGTGGAGGCTTCTTCTGTTTGGAACCAAAGTTAAGGCATCAGGCCAAACAGTACCCTGGACTCCTCCGCGAACACCTGTACACTCCTGGCCACTTGTCTGTCACCTGCCTCCTCTTTACACAGCCCATGGGGCTCTCCGGCCAGGCTTCCAGCTGCGTGACTTACAAAATTAGCCTTGGGAAAGGAAGCAGAGCCAAGTTCATGATGAATCACAATTGTAGGTACATTTTCATTATGAATGTGGATGAAAAGGGCCTTCATCCTGACGCTTCCATTCTCAGAATGCAGAAAACGTGACAGCACAGTTGGCTGCTCTTGGGTATAGATCTGTTTTTTGCCACCTGTTTAATTTATGGGTAAAGCTTGCAAGCCAGACTTTTTCAGCCTAGCGGGAGACCTCCCACTCGAAGACTCGAGTGCCTGGGCAGTTGTGCTGACTTGGTACTGACCTTGTACTGACATTTTGATTCCTGCTTCTTAGGTCACATCAGAAGATGTGAATTCAAGTATCAAGACCTTTTTTTGTCCCAATGAAACCTACAATGACATGGCCACACTCTTCTTCAATCCCCAGGAGTCTGCCATCCTTCAGCTTTTCCACCAGGATGGTGAGTATCTGTGCCAGCCATTCCTGGGTGATTGGGTTTGTTTCCAGGGAACAAATGAGGATTATTCCTCCACCCTTTCTGTTGGTCCTCAGACCCAGCCAGGCTTGCCCTTCATTCTGAGCAAGAACGGGACTGTTCCTTTGTAATACCAGCCAGACAAGATTAGAGTTTGTCCTCCAGTGTTGGGTACAGAAGGGCCTGGCAGGAGCCGAGGCGGTCTGGTGGGCCTCCACGGGCCTCCGGTAGCGGGCCTCAGGTCGCCTCTTGCCCTGCAGGTACTTTCAGCCCCATCACTTTGGCCTTGTTCTTCGTGCTCTATTTCTCGCTGGCGTGTTGGACTTACGGCATTTCTGTTCCAAGTGGCCTTTTTGTGCCTTCCCTGCTGTGTGGAGCTGCTTTTGGACGTTTGGTTGCCAATGTCCTCAAAAGGTACCGTGTGTGTGCGCGTGCATGCGTGCTGAGTGTGCACACGTGTTCATAATGCACAAGTGTGTGAACCATAGCCCCAGCTCCACCCCCACCCCCCCCGCCCCCAGTGTCGTTCTAAGCCATGTTCCCGGTTTCTTTCTCCACCAGCTACATTGGATTGGGCCACGTCTATTCAGGGACCTTTGCCCTGATTGGTGCCGCGGCTTTCTTGGGTGGGGTCGTCCGTATGACCATCAGTCTCACTGTCATCCTGATTGAGTCGACCAACGAGATTACTTATGGGCTTCCCATTATGATCACCCTGATGGTGAGCACTCCCCCTCTAGGCCTCTTCCAGGTTCAGGGCTGAGTTCATCCCACAGCGGCCTCTTTTCCCGTTTTGCTTTGTGTTTCAGGTGGCCAAATGGACAGGGGACTTCTTCAGTAAGGGCATTTATGATATCCACGTGGGGCTGCGAGGAGTGCCGCTTCTGGAGTGGGAGACAGAGGTGGAAATGGACAAGTGAGGCCGTGATTTCTCTTCGTGTCCTGGTTTCAGTGCTTTTAAACTTAAGGGCCCGGGGGATCTTTGTATAAGGGTAGGAAGCGATAATTCAGATTCTTGGGTTGGAAGAAGGCGAACTGGTAAATAACAACAGGAAGGTCCTTCAAACAGCAAACGTGTTTGTTCCCAATCATGTTTGGGAATGTTGAGCAGCTCGGTGTGGCTGGGAGCTCGAGGCAGGGCAGAGGACAAAGGGGAGGGATGGGGGCCAAGGTCAGCAGGGCCTCTTCCTGGTTTTGTTTGGCTGCTGTGGCGTTCTGGTTAGATATGAAGTGAGGTCTCTGGATAGAGACTGTGTTACGATGGAATGTTTAAACTAAGGGTCTGCTGAGCCCTGTGAGTGAGAACTAGCCCCTTTGTGTGAGCCTAACAAAATGTCACACCATCAGTGGTGATTCTGCTGGGCATGGTCACCATGTTATCCACCAGCCCATGGATGGTCTGGGCCTCCTGTGTCTGGGTATCACGCAAGGCCCTTATAGTCTAATGTAGGGTCAGCAGACTTATGTAAAGGGGTGGATAGTAAATGTTTTCAGCTTTGCAGGCCATGTGGTCTCTGTCACAACAGTTCAGCTCTGCAAAAGCAGCCAAAGACGATTGTAAACGAGCGAGCATGGCCAGATTCGACCTGTGGGTTACAGTTGCCATCCCTGGGCTAAAGGGGCACCCACACTTCTTATTCCAGTAGTATAATTAGCCATTCAATGATGATACGTGGAATGTGCTGTGGAGTGCTGAGGAGGGGATGGCCAATACCCTGGGAAAGCAGATGGGGTTTGTGGCAAGAGGACATTTTGGATGGAGCTGAGGGATGAGTAAAGGCCCACCAATTTGACAGAGCAGGGAAGGGTGTTCTAGGCATGGGGAAGGGCATGTGCAAAGGGATGGAAGTATAAAGGAATGCATGTGTTTGTGGAGCTGCTAGAGATGGTTCAGAAGAGGGGCCCCACGTGGTCCAGGCAGTGCCAGCACAGCCGTGTTACGGCTTGCTCCAGGGTGCTGTGGGCTCCATCATGAGGCCGGACGGCTTCCCTCCCTCCCCCAGACTGAGAGCCAGCGACATCATGGAGCCCAACCTGACCTACGTCTACCCGCACACCCGCATCCAGTCCCTGGTCAGCATCCTGCGCACCACGGTCCACCACGCCTTCCCGGTGGTCACAGAGAACCGCGGCAACGAGAAGGAGTTCATGAAGGGCAACCAGCTCATCAGTAACAACATCAAATTCAAGGTAAAGAAAACAGCCCAGAGGAAAGGCAAGTGCGAGACACGTGGTCCTTGATACTCATACTGATCTAGTGCCGGCACAGCCGCTAGGTAGGTGGCCCCGGCTGGGTCTTAGGGAAACCGGCACTCTTCACGGTATGAGACAGTGAGTGTAGACGCGACAGCAAGTGTGGACTTTGTTAGACCATCAGGACGTGCGTCTATTCCGCCCCATAAGCACACGGACAGCATTTTCTAAACCGGCAGTTTCAGTATTTGTCATTTACGGTGTGCAGGCTGTATCCAGGAGGGTTCTAGAGTTGCCATCAACAGAAATGGACTTTGGTCTACTTGAAAAGGAAAAGCAATCAGTTGGAAGTTACAGGACCGACAGGACAGCTGAGGAACTGGAAGTGCTGCGCTCTGGGCAAGCAGGCGGCTAACGGGCACCCCTAAGGGTCCCAGGAGGCTTTGGCGCTGGTCGTTCTGTGCCCTTGGGTCACTCCCGATGTGCAATCCAGGCAGAGAGAGTCCCATTGCCTCATTTGGGTCATGTGCCTACCCCTTGGCTTTAGGGGTTGGGGTCACATAGATTGACAGTCCCACCAAGACACGAGTAGGGGTGGGGTTGTTCCCCACTGGAGGACTGAGGTGCTGGTCCCAAATCAGAGGAGTAGGATGTTGGGCCGGCAAAACCCAGGGGGTCGCCAGTGAGCCCTGGGGCTCTGAGAGGCCCCTTTGTTTTTGTTTTTTTTGTTTTTATTTTATTTTTTTATTTATTTTTTTCCCGCAAAGCCCCAGTAGATAGTTGTATGTCATAGTTGCACATTCTTCTAGTTGCTGTATGTGGGACGCGGCCTCAGCATGGCCAGAGAAGCAGTGCCTCGGTGCGCACCCAGGATCCGAACCCGGGCCGCCAGCATCGGAGCACGCGCACTTAACCACTAAGCCACGGGGCCGGCCCTGAGAGGCCCCTTTGAATCACCAGCCCCTGAGCCGCTGCGAAGGTTTCTTGCGGTTCCTGTGTCCGCATGTGTGGGTCTTGACCCTCGCTGTCACCCAAATCCTTAAGCTAAGTAGCTGCCGTGTTGGTGGGTGTGCCCACGCACAGCCATCCATGGCCTCTCTGGTCGAAGCCTCTGTCATCGTCACCTCTTCCCCGTCCACAGAAGTCCAGCATCCTCACCCGAGCCGGCGAGCAGCGCAGACGGAGCCAGTCCATGAAGTCCTACCCGTCGAGTGAGCTGCGGAACATGTGCGATGAGCACGTCACCTCCGAGGAGCCGGCCGAGAAGGAGGACCTCCTGCAGCAGATGCTGGAGCGCAGGTGAGAGCGCAGCTCCTCCCCCCACGCAGGCGCCGGCTGCCTGCGGCCTTTGGGGACGGTCAGCCCTCTGCTCGATGTTGCTGCTGAGCATCTTGGGAATTTGGGGAGTGGGCTGGGGACGCGGACGAGAAGCCTCCCTGCTGAGGGTATACTAGGCAGCGTCTGGTTTTTGTATCAGATACACTCCCTACCCCAACCTATACCCTGACCAGTCCCCAAGTGAAGACTGGACCATGGAGGAACGCTTCCGCCCTCTGACCTTCCACGGCCTGATCCTTCGGTCACAACTGGTCACTCTGCTCGTGCGAGGGGTTTGTTATTCTGAAAGCCAATCGGTGAGTCTCTCTCTTGTTCGCACTGGGATGCTGGAGGGCCCGAGGGTGGTGGGAACACATTCCCTGTACTTCAGGGAGAGAGAGGTGGTACTTGGTGAGTCCGTGGGCCAGCAGGCTGCTGTCGAGTGGCATGTGCAGCCCCGCAGTTCCCTCGGCCTCTGACGGCGTCTGTCCAGGTGACACAAAGCAGGGGGTGAGTCTCGCTCGGGTCTTTTTCCACTTAGTCTCTGTACCTGTTGTCAAGCGTCCTTCTGGCCTGGAGGCTTTTAATACAGTTTCTACACTTTAATTTCTGGTATGAATGAGTTTTCTTACATGTGTTATCAAAAGAAATACCATTCTTCCCACTGATTCCCTGGAAGTGTTCTTTTTTTCTCTTTTGTTTGGTTTTTGTAGAGATAAGCAGGGGTAGGTGGGGTATGTTGTTCAAAGCGGTCCCTATAGCAACCTGGGACCCACTCACCCTCACACTCTTCATCCCTTTAGTTGGAGCCTGAGAAAGTTGCCCAGAGACCTAGTTTCCAAACTGACTCTCCTGGTTAGGTCCTGCCCATGGGAGGCCAGCCTGAGGTCACTCAGTCCAGCTGGCCTGCAGAAGAGCAGCTAAGGTGGGGCAGGGCTTGGGGGTGTGCTCTGTGGGGAGGACCAGCCTGGCTGGAGTGGGGTTGAGTGAGTGGAGCACAGGGGACAAGGGAGTTGGAGGAGCAAAGTGGGCCATATCACAGAGGGTCTTGCCAGAAGGCCAGAAACCAGCCAGGGCTGGCCTGATGAAGCACGGGCAGTCGGTGCTGCTTGGCAGGCAGTGGACGGAGAGCAGTGTGCAGGGTGGAGTTGAGGGAGAAAGATGGGGGCAGAGCAGTGACCAGCACTTGTGGTCACTGTGCCCAGCCTGAGAGCTGGTGGTGGCGGCCAGGTGCCCAGTGAAGGCCAGCAGCAGTGAAGCAGAGGGAGATCCAGGGGACCCCGAATGGAGGAAGAGGAGCAAAGCCACTGTGTGAGAGTCCTGCGGCTGCTGTATCCACTCGCCACAAACCAGTGGCTTCAAACAACAGAAATGTATTCTTTCCTAGTTCTCAAGGCCAGAGTACAAAATCCAGGCGTGGGCAGGGCCGTGCTCCCTCTGGAGGCTCCGGGGGAGGGTCTGGTTTGTGGTAGCAGCAGTCGTCAGCAGTCCTGGCCTTCCTGACTGTAGACGTGGCTCCCATCTCTGCCTCCTCGTCACGTACCTTCTCCCTGTATGTCCCTCCTCTTTTGATAAGGACACCAGTCATGGGATTTAGGACCCACCCTAATCCAGTATGACCTTATCTTATCTTAGCTTGGTTCCATCTGCAAAGACCCTGTTTCCCATAAGGTCACCTCCACAAGCACCCGGGGTTAGGACTTGGTGTCTGTGTGGGTCTACCCACACAGCTACTGTGAGTTAGCACTTCTCTTGTTTAAACTGCAGGATGACCCGTTTCCCTTTTACAGATGAAGAAAGGGAAGTTCAGAGGGATTAGGGGACTTGCCCAGGGAGACACAGCTAGGAATCAGCCGAGAACTGACTTTGGATCACGATGTCTGCCTCCAAAGCACCTGTTCTGGGCCCTGCTCTGTACCGCCTCGCTCTTGGTGGTGCCGTGGCCGGACAGATACAGACACAAAGGGAGCGGGGGGCCTCTAAATGGGACCTGCCAGTTGCTGTGCTTGGTGCAAGGACAGTGTCTTGGTTGGGATTGCAGAGCGCCAGCCAGCCGCGCCTTTCCTACGCCGAGATGGCCGAGGATTACCCACGGTACCCTGACATCCACGACCTGGACCTGACACTGCTGAACCCGCGGATGATCGTGGTGAGGAGGGCTGCCCCTTTGGGACACGGCCCTGGGAAAGGAGGCCAAGGGCCCGTCCTGTACGGACTGCTGCTCGTCTGTACCGTTTGCGTCTCATCCTGGTTAGGGCAAAACTGGCCACAGGTAACTTGTGTTACCCTTCCTCTGCAGGATGTCACCCCGTACATGAACCCTTCGCCCTTCACTGTTTCACCAAACACCCACGTCTCCCAAGTGTTCAACCTGTTCAGGACGATGGGCCTGCGGCACTTGCCCGTGGTGAATGCGGTGGGAGAGGTGAGTCTGAGGTTCAGGTGGAGGAAGGAGGCGGTTGTCTATCTACCCACCTTCTGGAAAGGATCCTCTAATCAAGGTGCCGTTTGTGAGTCAGGGCTTCTCAACCCGGAGGAGACATCAGAATCCCGCAGGGAGGTTTCTCAGACTAAAACCTGCTCTGCTGTTCTCCCACCAGCAGTGAGGGGAGAGAGTGGATGGATGGGGACTGGTGTAGCCCCCGAACCTTTGCCCTAGTGTCTCCTTTGATTCTTATACGCTGTTTCCTGCGTGGCCAGCAGATGGCGCCAGTGTCTCAGTGGCTTCCTTTCTGCAGGCCAGGAAAGCTTAGGGCAGACTCTTCTAAAAGGTTTCCCTTCGCCTTTGAGGGGAGGAGCCTGTTACGTGTTCCTCTGTCCCTCCTGTTATGGGAATTTGTAACATTATATGAGAGAATTTCAAGGAAAATACTTGGAGAGTTTTAAAAGATACAACACCTAGTAATTATTGCTACAGACTTTTCCATTTTTTCTGTTTCTTAGAACTTCATTTTTTTCTTACTACATGAATATTATTGTTTGATTGTAGAAAAATAAGAAAATACAGATAAGCAAAAACAAACAGAAAGAAAAAACAAACCCTTATCTCCACAGAGGTAGTAGCCATGTTAACTTTTCAAGGTGTATCCTTTCAGTCTTTTTTGTTCGGATCTAGAAATGGAGGTTTTATATATCAAGTTTTAATGAAAATGTTATCACTATTTATATTGTTCAACAGCTTAATTTCTCACTTAATCTATAGGCAATGACTTTCAATGGCAGAAAACATTCACTTATAATATTTTAAGGGCTCTATAGCATTCTGTTGTGTGGCTGTCCAGTCAGTTATTCAGCAGTCCTCTACTGTGGAATTTTGAGTTCAATTTCCCTGTAGCGGGCACCCTTGTATGTCGCCAGACTGCCCTCCAGGAAGCGACAGCTCTCTGCAGTAAGTGACCCGCAGCAGGACGCTGGCACAGCACAGCTCGTTCCCACCTGACTTTAGCTGCAGTGGACCAGACTGTGTCCCTTGAAACACAGCTGCGCTGACAGTCCTCACAGTTTGCAGTGTGGGGTACCCACGTCGGTGACCAAGGTGAGCCACTGCAGTGACTGTGAAAAATGACCTTGCAGGAGAAACTCGTTTCTCCATTCTCGCACACTCCACCGTCCTTCGTCACCAGATGGGGGGCGTTTTCCCCACACCAAGCAGTTCTCTGATTCTCTGGACACCAGCCGGGTGTCTTACAATTCAACTCAATTCTGACACGATCCTCCTGGAGGCAGCGCCAGATCCCACAGGTTAAGGGCTCAATCCCACAAGACTGCCCCCCTTCCCCCCTTCAGATGCCAAATTGCAAGTGCAGGTTGTCACTTGTGCTTCCGACCAGCTGGCTGTACCCTATACCTCAGAGGTTCCCACAACCTCCTGCTCATAGAACTCAGGAAGGCAGTTTACTTAGTAGATTACTGGTTTGTGATAAAAGGATGTCACTCAGGAATGGCCAGATGGAGGAGACGCAGAGGGCAAGGTGTGGGGAAAGGGCGCCAAGCTTGCATACCCTCTCTGGGTGTACCGCCCTCCTAGCACCTCTGCACGGTCACCAGCCTGGAAGCTCTCTGAACCCTGTAGTTCGGGGATCTAGTGGAGGCTTCACTGCATAGGCGTGATTGATTACGTCTTTGGCGTTGATGATGGATTCGGCCTCCGGCCCCTCCCCCCACAGGTATCAGGTGGGGCTGATAGTTCCAGCCCTCTGGTCCCATGGTTCTCCAGGCTCCATCCTTAGGGGCTTTCTGAAAGTTACATCAGTAACATAAATTCAGGTGTGGTTGAAAGGGGCTTGTTATAAATAACGAAAGACAACTTTATTATTCTTATCACTTAGGGTTTTAAGAGCTTGTGCCAAGGACTAGGACAAGGACGAAGTATATATTTCTTACTATAAACCACACTATCACACTGACCCAGGTAGTTGGTATTTATGAGCCATAGCAAAGTCACAGCTTCTGAGAAACCTGCACTGGGCTGTGCCTCTCGCTCACATACATGAAGCAGGCTGGGTGTGGTGGCAACTGACAAAGCTAGAGAGCGTGTGCCCTGTTTAAAAAGACGTGCAGGGGCTGGCCCCGGTGGCATAGTGGTTAAGTGGGTAAGTTTGCATGCTCCGCTTCGGTGGCCCAGGGTTTGCAGGTTCGGATCCCAGGCGTGGACCTGCGCACCACTTATCGAGCTGTGCTGTGGCAGGCGTCCCACATGTAAAAGTAGAGGAAGATGGGCACGAATGTTAGCCCAGGGCCAGTCTTCCTCAGCAAAAAGCTCAGGGCTAATCTTCCTCACCAAAAAAAAAAAAAACATAAGACATGCAAATTCAGATTTTAGCTGGCCCAACTAAAGCCTTTTTTGGAGCTAAATTTGTCCCATTGGCCTCCAGTTTATGAGCTCTGGTTATCTGTTTGTCTTGTTCCCACCTAGAAATTAGGCCTTTGAAATGAGTCTCCTGATCTTGTTGTCATGTCAGTTCCGGCATTGTGCAGGCCTGGTGCTGTCTCCTTCTGCTCTCCGTGCCGGCCAGCGAGCTCTGCTCCCTCGGGCTCTTGCCCCTGGGTTTACTCTGCAGGTGACGTGGGTCTTTCTCTCCTCGCCCTAGATCGTGGGGATCATCACACGACACAACCTGACCGATGAGTTTCTGCAGGCCCGGCTGCGGCAGCACTACCAGACCATGTGATGGCTCGGCCTCGCTGCCCCTCCATGGGCTGGCCCTCTCTCCCAGAGCTGCCTCCCCAGGCAGCTCGCTCATGGTCCGCCGTCACAGCTGCCTGGGGCTGTCCAGGGGCGCGGAAGATTCCCGGTTACCCGCTCGCTCGGAAAGCCTACAATCATCACACACTTTGCTGGTCAGAGATCCCAAGGATGGTTCTGAACCATCAGAACTTGGACTGGTCTGACTTTCCCAGCAAATATCTTCCTGGTTCCTGCTCCCTGCATTCCTGCCATCAGTTTGGGCACAGGCCTCAGTCCCTTCCACCCTGCTAGCGCCAGGACCAGAGGGGGAAGGCAGGCCTCGCCCACTGGGGGGACACCCAGAGCAGGTTTCCTGCCCCCTCTTTGCTGCTTTCCTAGGGAGCCCAGCTGTTGCCTTAAACCATTATGGGAGGGACTTTGGCAAGGCAAACACTGTGGGGAGACCAGTTGCAAAAATAAGTGAATCACTAAATTTAGGAATTGGGCACTGAGGAAATGGTCCATGTTTCAGGGAGGCCTTCCATCATTGAGTCTTAACTCGTCGTCTTCAACAGTTCATTTTCGAGAATGTTCTGCTTCCTGGGTGTGAGCTAGCGCTCTGCTCTTGCCCCTGGGGTTTGAATCTCCTTAGAATCACCACCCTCCAGAAGCACAAAGCATTAAAATTCCACTAATAATCTGTGAACGATAAGTCTGACAGTAGGGTCAGATTTGCATCTGCTTTCACTTTTAACATTCAGCTTTCTCTCCGTTTCCCAAATTATTCATGGTCTCCTAGTGACACATTTGTACTGTGATCCATCCCTGGTCCTTTTCATCTCTATGAATGACTAAACTTTCCTTAAGTTCTTACCTCGTCTTCCTGGTGAAGCTGCCACAGCCCAGAGGGTCTCAGTGTCCATCCCCGCCCCCCGCCCGAGTTAACTGCAAACAGGGCACCGCTAGATAACACTGCTTCGCTTAGCTCTGGGGAACAGTGCAGCTATTGATAAGGTAGAAAGGAGTGAGTCCTGAGCGGTGACCACTCACAGGTACGTAATGTGGCCTGAGAAGCAGTGTCACAGTAAAGCAGAGGGTTATTCAAGGAAGAGGCGTCTGGCCTTCACAAAGGTCTCTCAGTCACCTGCTGCCAGCCGTCCCCAGCCTGCTGAGCGCTCAGAAATGGAAACTTCAGCAGGGTCTGCTCTGCTGCCAGGGGCTGGGGTGGGGAGGGGCGCCTGCCAGCACCTGCCCTGAGGTTTCAGCATTAAACCTAGGAGGCCTCCCTCTGTCTTTCAGTGACTTAGTTTCTCCCAGGCTGGTTGGTCCTCTCTGAACAGCACCCAGCGAACATTCGGGAATCAGGCACGGGCCCTGACTTTCCCTTTACTTCTGTGCTCTCTGCTTTATCAGCACCTTAGGCCCGTCGGCCAGCCCTGGGGCAGATGTGCTTTGGGACTCAAGATGGCCTTCATTTGCGTTTAGTGGGTTTTTTAATCATGGAAGTCGCCTGAGGGTGTCTCTGCCTGGCCCTGGCAGCACTCTTCTTCCCCCCTCAGCCCCCACTGACTTCGCTTGCCGAGACTGCCTTTCAGCCTGGGGGGGCGGTCAGTCCCGGCTTCGCCAGCTTCCGTCTTGTGCTCAACACTCTGTTCCTCTTAAGTGAGGGCTGCGTCAGCATCTTTCCCAACTGACTGTGGCCCCTCCATTCTTCCCATTGTCTTCTCTTTTTGACCAAAAGTACTTTGACTTCTAAATGTTTCAGCTTCCCTGGATGCGCTTGACTTGTGAAATGTGGATGAAACTCCCAATAAATAGTTCAGGAAATCACGAGGACCAACAAGGCAAGCCTTCCTGAATGTGATTGCCTTCAGCCAGCTGCCGCTTTATTTTAAGGCAGCATTCAGAGCTTGGCTACACAAATTCTTCCTTTTTCTAAGAAGGAAACCAATTGCCCAAGTCAGGACAATGGAGTGACTGCCGGTCACAGAAGTTGAATCCCCTCTCCCCAGCCTCACTGAAATTGGCAGAACTCAAGTTCTGCAGGAGGACCTCTGGCCTCCAGGGCCCTCGAGGCCTCCCGGGTGAATGTCATTGGAATTTACCCCTCGTGCTTGTTGAGTTTAAGTCAACAGATATTTTGTTCCCATCGGTGTAGCTCAGAGACAGATGGTAGAATGCAAATGCTTCCCTCCACCTGACCTGACTGGATGGCCACCAAGGATGACCCAAACCCAGGCCCCCTGGAAAGGCGCATTGTTTCCTGTCCTCTGTTGGCATCTGCCGTTTCTGGAGAAACCCGAAGACAGCCACTGCTCCCGTGTAACAGAATAACCGTAAGCCTCCCTCCTCTGATTTCTGATAGGTAGAAACCCAAATGTTCACCATCTTGCCTATTACCGGCCCCATCACCTCCCAGTGATACGGCATCTCAATAAACAAAAACCCACGGAGGAGGTCGGGGTGGGCTAGAGGCGGCTTTCTGTGTTTCAGCTCCAGCTGGGTGGTTTGTGTTCCCCAGCCAGGGTGACCGGAGGTGGGGCGAGAGTCCCTCCTGATTGCAGGGCCTTTGCGCCCCGGGGGGGTGGTGTGCTCGTGACCTTGTTTAGCTAACGGTTTTGCTGGAATGGACACTTGCTTGCTTGAACCCAGCTGACCATACAACATTTCTGATGCAAAATTGCGCACTGACGCGGCCCTCGGAGACGAGAGCTCTGGGGAGGCGGGAAGCGCCCTCATGGGCCTGCAGTATTGATGTGCAGTGTTGCCCCACAGCTCCGTGGACCTCAGTCATTTCAACAGTAGCAGCTTCCTTTTTTCCCTTTGCACTGTTTGTTTATACAGTAATGTTAGCTAATTCCACTGTGTATATAAATTGTATTTTTTTTAATTTGTAAAATTCTATTTTTATTTGAACTTTTGGAACTTGGAAGTTCTCATTGTAACCATAACATGTCAGAATAAAATGTCCTCATCTGTCTTCTTGAGTCTCTTGTCTCCACGGTGCTCTTTCTTTAGAGTGGTGCTTGGTGTTTATTTTGTTCCCTCTCTTTCTAATATGTAAAAATTGCAAATCCAGAAAGTGGTTTTATAGTCTCACATCTCTCCTTTTACAGCTCTCCCAGCAGGACTTCTCCTTCACAGGGGCCCACTTACTACCTTCGTAATGAGAATCAGTGTAGTGCTGTGGATCTGAGCAAAAGGCACGAGGTTACCACTCTTGTCTTTCTCCCTTGAGATTAACAGTTAGATCTTGTTTACTGATCCTTTGCTCCTATAAAAACCTACCTGGTCCTTCCAGCTGCTGCTTCCCATCTACAGCACTAGAGGGAGAATCCATTTGTATCCCTGGCAGTGTGGTGGTTAGGAATTTGCCCCATCAGCAGAGTCCCCTCATATCCAACTGGAAGAAGTGAAACTGGTGCTGAGTCTGTGGACGTTCAGACTGGGGGCTGGCTTCCATCGGTGGGGTTCAGGCCCCTCCCCCTGACCCCAAGTCGTCCCCAAGTTCCAGGGGCATTTTCTGTGTATTTGGCACTCTCAGCTGATGCCATTCAGTGAGGACCCACTCTGTGCCGGTGACACAGCTGACCGCTCTTCCCCTTCTAGCAACGGCCACTCGCCCAGTGCCGGGCCTCAGGAGCCAGGTTGGGACAGGCACTTCTTCCTGTCCCTCCACCCACGTCCTGGTCAGCCCCTCTCTGCTTCTTGGGTTTCCACCCTTCTGTGTTCCGCATGCACATAGGAACACGTTCACTGGCGTGGTTGATTGGAGTCTTTGCCCACGTCTGCTCCCCAACCGTCAATTCACTTCTGGCCTCCACTTCCCTCTGCAAGGAGCAGACTGCTATGTTTCTACCGCTGTTTCCAAGTTTTGTACGAGACCAAGACAATTTGACAATATATAGAGCATCAACTGTGCCACGTGCTGAAGGGGCATTTTCCCTCAAGGAGCTTGCAATCTAGGGACACAGACACAACTGCATACCAAGGCAAATTGTGTCTTAATAGTTACATACAGAATGCTGCTGGTAAAGAGCTTAATATGCACTAGGCACGAGGTATCAGGGAAGGCTTCAGGGAAGAAGTGGCATTCTCAATGAGCCTTGAGGAATAAGAATGTTCTGGGTAGCACTGGCTAAAGGACGTTCTAGGTGGAAGGAACAACATAAAGACATGGAAAAGTGAGCTGGGGGGTGGGGGGCTGGTGGAGGAAGCACCACAGAGGCTGATGGGGAGAGTGAAGTGTGTGGGGTGGGAAGACAGGTCAGAGTACTGCTCCCTGTTGTGGGTGAACTCAGTGCCCGGTGTTTTCTGCTCAGGGCAGCACCCTTCTCAGAAGCTGGTAGAAAGAGACCGAGTCTCCTCCAGTGGCTCTCACAGCAGTAAAATCTACAAGTCAGGAAGCTTGGACCTGAATTAGAAAAAGCTGATGGCTCTTTTTTAAACATATGTTAGTGCCCCAAAGGCACATAAACTTGCAGTCTGTCAGCATAGCAAACATTTCTGTCTTCACTTTGCTCAGCTTTAATGCTCTGCCTCATCTTCTTAAAACTAAAGTGCAGGCCGCTCCATTGCAGCAGCTAACTCTCTCAAAATGTGTCAGAAAATTTTTAGTGTCCTCATTTTAAAAGTTGCTTCTAAAAAAAAAAAATAAAAACTGTAGCCAAAAGTACTAGGTGTGCAAAAATTGTCTATTGAGTACAAGCTACATTAGATATAACCAGAAAAAAAAAAAAAAAAGATGTCTGTAAGTTTTCTTTTTAATAAATAAGTGCCCTGAATGTGAGCAAATCTGAATAAAAATAAGTGCCCTTTTGGTCTCCTGGGGCTTTTTCAGGATCTGTGATGAAGCTGGAGTGAGAGTCAGAGCAGGCAGAGAACTGCAGTGTGAGCCCCACCCCATCCCACCCCCGCAAAAAAAGGAAGGAGGAAAGAATGAGAGGAGGAAGGATCTGTCCAAGCCCACAGAATGTACAGCACCAAGAGTGAACCCCTATGTGAGGTATGGACTTTGGGTGATGACGATGTGTCAATGCAGGTTCATAGACTGTAACAAATGTGCCATCTAGTGGGGATGTTGATAGTGGGGGAGGTTGGGCATGTGTTGGGGGCAGGGAGTATATGAGAAATCTATGTACTTTCTGCTTAATTTTGCTATGAACCTAAAACTTCTCCAAAAAATAAATTTTATTGTTTTTAAGAAGGAGGAAGAAAGAAACTGAACATTCTTCTCTGGGACAAAAGGTAAAATGAAAATCAGGCTGAATTCTCTTTCCCGGGAAGCGAAACAAATCACTCCAACCCGAGCCTTCGGCTTCTGTCCGTGGTGCTGAAGTTTATTCATTTCTCAAATGGCTTCCAGTTAACAGGTGAGGGTCTGCCCTAAAATTTAATGCATAGGGTGGGAGAAGTGGGGAAGCCACAATTAAGCCACTTTATCTACATTTAGCATAAAATGTGAGAAATGTGGACAGGAGGCTGCAGCTTGAATAGGGTGCTCGTCACAACTCAGCTTGAGGGCAATGAGATGGGACAAAGTTGAGTGAGAGACCCCGGGGGATGAGGGTCTCTCGCAGTCTGCCCGGGGCCTGGCCCGCCTTGTCCTCCCTGGCCGTTATCTTCGGTACTACAAAGAGAACACAGACATGTTTGACTTGGTGACCTGGCTCTACTGGAAAAATCAACTTCGTAGGACTGTGGTCACTTCCCATAGACCCCACTCCAGCCTGAAAACTCCCTGAGTTTCATGAACTGGTACACAAGTTGCTCATTAGGAGCTCAAAGGTCATCCCTGGTCAATTTCAATCCTTTGGGATCTGACAAATTTGGAATCTGGAGAGGAACATGAACTGCCAATCAGCAGTACGAAGGCAACTTGCCCCATGAACATTTAAAGTGCTCAGTGCTCGTGGCATAACTTTTTTTCTTAGCATTTTCTCAGCAGCCTGTAGCTGAGGATGATGTCATTGTCCCAAGATTCATGGGGCACCCACCAAGTTGGCGCAGAAATTTCAAAGGGAGTAAGCTTCTATGCTGGTCCCTTCCTGCAGAAGGCGTCCCCTGGTGGTATACTTTGACAAGGTTTGAGCCTCAACAAAACCACAACTTCCTTCCTCCCCATCCCATTTCCATCCCCGGCTCCTCTTACCCGGAAGCTGTTGCAGCCCAGTCCACTCTGGGCTCCAATCCTGTCCATCCTGCCCCCGAAGCAGCTGGACCTCCGCAGGCTCCGAGGGGCAGTGAGCAGCGCCCTCAGCTTGCTTTTCAGGAGGGCAGATCTATCAGAGGAGTCCCAGGGGCCCCGCCCGAGGGCACCCCCATCTCTCTGGGCTGGGTTGACCTCCCCGGTCCAGGGAGGCACCTCAGCGAGGGGGCTGAGAGCAGCCCCACCTTCCTCACTCTGCTCACTTAGTACTTGTGGGGGCAGGACCTCATCTTCTAAGGGCATCTTGTCCTCCAAACGGTCCAGCAAATTCTTTACAAAAGGAAAACACAGGGAAAGGGAGAGGTCTCACCCACGGGCACAATGTCACAGAGCCCCCTGGTCCCAGAGTGTGCCCTCTTTCCCAGCCCTACCTTGAAATCCATCAGGTCTGCGTTGGACACAGAGCCATACACGGGGTTAGCTCTGGTTTGCCCTGGGAGCTGAAATGCCAGGAAGAGAAGGAAGCTTGTGGTGACGGTGGGGAAGGAGCCCATGCTGGTCACAGAGTGGTCTGGTGCTCGCCGCCTCTTCCCTCTCCTCCCTGGTTTCCCTCTCTGGGCCTTCGTCCGTCTCTGTCTCCCAGCTGCCCTGCGCCTCCTCTTTTTATAGGCCCCCGGCTCTCCGAGAACGCAAGAGGGATGGAACCCTCCCCATTCTGTCACTTGCAGCGATAAAGCAGCTGAGTGAGGAGCCAGCAGAAGATGCCCTTTTAAAGTTATCAGTCCAGCGGAGCTTGTCACAGCCCCTCCGCCTTGAGCAGCCCCAACAACCCCCAGGACCCTCGGCTGCAAGAGCCACATTCTTGTTGATTTGCCTCAAGAGGTTCCCACTTCAAAGGTGTGAGAAGAGCAAAAAAGAGTCCTTGGTTATCTCACAGCGATGCCTCGGGCTCCTTTCTCCTCGGCAACGGGACTCATGCCGGGAAGCAGAGGGTGACAGTTGGCGGGCACCCAGCTCCCCCGGTTGGTTTGTGGCTCAGCTGTCAGGGCCTCCAAATAAGGGCGGGAGAAGAGGAGAATAAGGGCGGGAGAAGAGGAAATGGCAGGCAGCCGGCAGCTCGGGACAAATTAGTCCAGATGCTCTAGCCGGCCTCACACCTGACTCATCAGCGGCGACGGCAGCCCTCTCGCTCCAGAAGGGCTGGCCTTCTGGCAGTCACTCTCCGCAGTCAGGTGAAGAGGGCGTTATGTTTTAGAGTACTAAGTCAGCCGGGAACCAAATGTGATGAATGACCCAGGAATTCGGCTCCCAAATTTCAACACCAAGGAAAGTTTTGGGAACACAATCATTCCTCTGCAAAGCTCCTCCTCCTTCGACCCCTCCACGACCCCCCTCCAAGGTGCTGAGGGAGGTAGACACTGAGAGGATGCAGCATTTTCGTTTCTTCAACTTGCTGCTTATAGAAACTCAGACTCTTTGAGTATGAAGCTTGTAATTCCCCTGCCCTTTCCTGGAAAGCTCCCACGGCCAGTTGGCTGATGGAGTGAGGTGGGAGGCGAATGTAACACTGTTTCCCTTAACGCCTCCATTTTCCTGGCCCCCAAAAGAGAAATAACAGGCAGCGAGGCCACATTTAATGAGTGGCCTCCATTCGCTAAGCACATACTCAACCCTAGCATGCTATTCAACAGAGCGTATGCTGGGGGGAAACACTAAATTTGAAGGGATGAGAGACCTGCATTGTAGCCCAAAACAAACCAAGCTGCATATGTCTTTGGGCCTTATTTTCCTCATCTGTAAAATGAGGAAAGTGTAAAAACCTAAGGTTATCCTGAGGCTCAGAAGTAATGTGTGGATGCATTTTGAAGTGTGAAGTGCTGTGTAACTGCGAGATGGTAATCGCGCTTGCCTTTATTGGTCAGCTGTAACGTGCCAGACACTGAGCTGAGAGCTTCATGTGGTTACTTCATTTTCGTCACCACCCGCAGGAGCTGGTGGTCTTGTTGCCATTTACAGAGGGACAGGACTGAGACTGAGAGCTTTGTCACTTACCCAAGGTCACTCAGCTCATAAGCGGCAGAACCAGGACTTGCACCCCAGGTATGACACCAATACACACAGTCCTCACCCATTTCACAGACACTGCTGCTGCGTAGCGCGATGGTCTCTTAACAAGCCCTCTGGCAGTCCCTGATTGAACACACCCCCATTCCCAGTCTCTCAGGGTGACTCTGAGCAGCTCCTTCTCCTGCCCCCTGCCTCGGGGCTGCAACTTCGTGTACTTGGCAGGTCTGTGTGCGTGTGGAACATCCATCTCCGCCCCTGCCAGACCCCTCCCTAGCTGAGCTGACTCCCTGGCTGATCAGGTGGAAAGGCTGTTATACGGCAAGAGGGCAGGAAACCAGGGCAGAACGTGGCCAGAGGTCACAAGAGGTGTCCAGGGCAATTTTATTCTAAAAAGGAGAAAGAAGCCCTCTTCAGTCACTGATTTGGGTCAGCCAAACTCAACTTGAAATCCAAGGTGGGTGCAATTCTGGGTAGCGCTCCCGGGGCAAAAAACCATCGTATCCTGACGAATCCCTGGAATGTGCTCACAGCTTAATTGCTCGGTTGGCAGGGTTATTATTAGCAAAGAGGATTCAGTGAGCAGCCACGCTGCGGGGAACCGATGCTCCTTGCTGCTTGCGTCACACAGCCTGTCTCCTGGAGATGCCCTTTGAGACTGGCCTTTGATGCAGGCGAAGACTTCCGGAAGGGCATCGTGGCGGGTGGCCCCTGCCGTGGCTTGGCCTCTGAGGGCCAATGCTGCTCCTCTGTCCTGAGCTACTTCTGAAGTCTGTAGGTGGCCTGAGGAGAAGCGGAAGTCCTGCCCCAGGTTCCAGAAAGGGACTTTCAGAATTTGCCCACCTCCTTTTATTAAAGTCACTTTTCCTCTTCTAGAGTGAAACCGGAGTGGGCCGTGAGTGTCATTTGTTGAGTTTCTTCTATTAGCTGGGGTTTTTTTCGTTTTCCGTTTTTTGTTTTGCAGAAGGGCGGTGACAAGAAAAAAGAACATTCAGGTTTGCTGCTGAGGACTTTGTGAAGAACCAGCACCACCTCCTGCACTAACTGGACCCAGTGAAAACACAGACAACCCCCAAATATACTTGTTACCCCAAATCCCAGTAAAGCCTTTGATTTGAGCCTGAAATGGAAAATGACTTGATGTAAAGTTTCTCTTCATTTCCAAGCCCCTGCTCAACTTTGGGGGGTGTGTGTGGAGGAGTTAATATTTAAAGGGGTGTTTAGAAGCCAGCCTGTAGGAGTGAGAGAGAAGAAAAGCAAAAGACGCAGGAAGCCAGATCCGCCCCCACCCCCACCTCTCCCACCAGATGAAAAACCAAAAGCCTTTCTTTCCGTATCGCTGGGAAGAAGTCATCTTAGTCGTGTGATGGAATGAGCGTTGCAGATGGGTGGATGAATCCAGAACTGGGGTGTCTCCAGTTTCTAGCCCACTTTGGTTTCACAACCCTCCATGGGGATGCTGGGGGCTGCTTTGGGGAACCACAAGGTCCCAGCAATGTTGCACGTGTGCAGAACTGGTGTGAAAAGCTCACCATGTTCATGGCACAATCTGTCAGACCCAGATGGTCTAAAGCAGAAGCCCCAGTTGGGAGAAACTGGTAGGACACTGGTGCGTACTTAGGGACTGTTGTTTCTGACTTTGAAAATGATGTTGTGTTTCTTTGGTACAATATGGAGATCACTGGACTGGAAGTCAGGGGCTGGTTCCCTAGAAAAAAAGCCTGAGGAAAAGTCAAGTTGCTAAAGCTTTATGGGGGCTCCAGTTCAAGGGAAGCAAGAGTGATGGAAAAAGGAAGTGAGATAGTGTATTATTTAACTATTGCTGCATAACAAGTTGCCCCAAACCTCAGCACCTTAAAACAACACACATCTATTATCTAGTAGTTTCTGTGACCAGGAATCTGGCCCTGCTTGGCCGGGTGCCCCTTGCTCAGGGCTCTCAGAGGCTGCCATTCAGGTGTTGTCTGGGGCTGCAGTCATCTCAAGGCTTAGCTGGGGGATCTGCTTTCAAGCTCACTCCTGTGTCCGTTGACAAGCCTTGGGTCCTCGCTGACTGTTGGCTGGAGATGTCAGTTCCTTTCCACAAGGGCCTCTCCATAGAGATGCAACTGACTTCCTTTAGGTAGAGAGAGAGAGAGATTATGTAAACCACGGTCTCTTTGGAGCCTCATCTTGGAAGTGGTATCCCCTCATTTTTGTTGTACTGTGTTCATTAGAAGTGAGTCACTGGATCCAGCCCACACCCAGAGGGTGGAGATTACCCAAGGGCATGAATACCAGGAGATGGGGATTATCAGGGGCCATCTGAGAGGCTGCCCACCACAGGTGGGGAAAGAGGAGAGCTGATACAAAGTGATACGTTACCAAGCCGGCCACAGCTTTGCAAAAACACCTTAGTGGTTGGTTGGTCACGCTGCACATCTCCAGAGAGCTTCCTGGAACCTGGCACCCTGGAACAGCCTATGAGTAGAGAAAAAGATGAGGGAACTGCCTTAGATCTCTAGGGATGCTGTAACAAAGTACCACAAACTGGAGGGCTTAAAACAACAGAGATGTATCGTTTCACAGTTCTGGAGGCTGGAAGTCTGAAATCAAGGTGTCACAGGGCCATGCTCCCTCTGAAATCTGTGAGAGAGAATCCTCGCTTGCCTCCTCCAGCTTCCGGTAGCCGCCGGCGGTCCTTGGCATCCCTCGACTGGCAGAGGCATCACTCCAACCTCTGCCTCTGTCGTCACCTGGCTGTCTTTCCACTCTGTGTTTCTTTCTCCTCTTCTTATAAGGACACCAGTCATATTGGATTAGGGGCTCACCCTCCTCCGGGATGACCTCATCTTAAATAATCACATCTATAATGACCCTGTTTCCAAATAAGGTCACATTCTGAGGCTCTGGATGTTTAGGACTTCAACACGTCTTTTAGGGGAACATAACTGGACTTGTAACAAGCGCTGCATCTGTAGGCTCCTTGCCACCGCTTGTCTCTCGCTAGTCAAAGCGTCACTTTCACCCTCACCCCACTCCTACAGGGCCGTGAGCTCCCCTGCACTTCTGGGCTGAGTTACCCAGTTCCTTCAGGCAGTGGCCGAGGAAACTGGAGACTGCTGTCCAGCGCACCCATGAAACCCGTGCATTGGCTTCGCAATCTCTCCTGGCCAGTCGATCCTGCTTGGCGAGGGGAGGGGGAGAGTCAGGGGTGGGGGGTGGTATATGGAGGTGGAGACGGGGCCAGATAGCAGCCATGAGAACCAGGTCAGCCATTGTTAAGGCCGCATTTTCCAGGAAGCCAGAGGTGCAGGCCAAGCAGGTATGAGGCACCCCACCATACCCCCGCACCTAGCACAGAGCTGGCACATACTGATTCTTTGGAAAATATTTTCCGAATGATTGAATCAATGAGTTTGCCGTCAGTGCCTCTCCCACCACCCCACCACGACACATACGTGAGTGTCCGCCCTGCACCTTGCCCTCCCTGGTGCAGAAAGAGCCAGACCAGGGAGCCCGGTGGGGAGAGGCCAGTTAGGAAGCCAGTGCGTCAATGTCGGCGTGAGTGGTGAGGCTCGAAGCCAGGAATGGAAGTGAAGGATTGTGTGCAGCAGGTGCTGGGAAGGAAGGAGGAGTGGATACGGTGCCAGCCTGGGTGGTCCAGCCAGAGAACCGAGTCCAAGAAGATTCCAAGCACTCTAATCATCGAGGGTGGGGCCCTGGGGGAAGGTTTAATCCTTTGGGCGTGTCTTTGTTTGGGTTCTCCTGAAGCTGAGACGAGGATTCAAGTACAAGGCAGCTTGTTTTGGAGACAATCCCAGGAAACATTGGCAGGAGAGTGAGAAAGTGACCAGGGAAAGAAGGAAGTCAGTGACCACCACGGACAACTGGAGCTTAATCTCCCCCCGCCCCCCACAGAGAACTCTGGGAACCAGTGTAAGAGGGACGCCACCTGTGAATCGAGGGTGCTGGGGTCTTTAAATGCTGATTCCTGCTAGATGTTGGTTGAGTGCTCCTCCTGGTTGACGCCAGTTCCCCAGCACTTCCTGCCTGCCCCAAGGGGAGCCAAGTGGGCTCCAGCTGCCAGAGAGAGTCCTTGGACAGGAAAGTGCGGTGCTGCTGGATGGAAGTAGAGCTGGCATGCCCTGAAGCGGCGAGGGCAGGGGCTGTGCTCGGCAGTGCCAGAGACAGGAGAGCTTGGGGCACGAGAGTGGGAGCAAGTGTCCCAGGGCAGGTACCGAGTTTGGTTTTAGAAATGCTCCAGGACATCCAGGCAGCTGTATGGGGCTGTCTCCTGACCCCACGGGCAACACAAGTTACTTAGTGGAATAGCACTGATTATTAAAACTAAGGCAGTGCATAAAAATCCCACAGAGGGGCTGGCCCGGTGGTGCAAGCAGTTAAGTGCTCGTGCTCCGCTGTGGCGGCCCGGGGTTCGCCGGTTCAGATCCCAGGGGTGCACCGACACACCGCTTGTCAAGCCATGCTGTGGCAGGAGTCCCATATAAAGTAGAGGAAGGTGGGCATGGATGTTAGCCCAAGGCCAGTCTTCCTCAGCAAAAAGAGGAGGATTGGCAGATGTTAGCTGAGGGCCAATCTTCCTCACAAAAAAAAAAAGAATAGAAAAAATCCCACAGAGACAGTAGGGGCTGGCCCAGTGGCGTAGTGGTTAACTTCGTGTGCTCTGCTTCGGCAGCCCAGGGTTCACGGGTTCAGATCTCGGACGTGGACCTACGCACGGCTCATCAAGCCATGTTGTGGCGGCAACCCACATACAAAATAGAGGCAGACTGGCACAGATGTTAGCTCAGAAACAATCTTCCTCACCAAAAAAAGAAAAAGAAAAAAAAATCCTGGAGAGATTGGGATAGAAGGCTGAGAACTACAATATGAACAAATGACCAAGTTCATGATTTTGTTTACACCTGCCTCTGTGGCAAGAGAAATGAATTTTTTTTCTTGCCACAAATCATCCTCAGAAGGGTCAAAGCTGCCGCAAGAGGGAGGGAGAGGGGCTCAGCACTCCATGGGAATGTCCCAGGTGCAGAATCGGTGACAGGAGATGAAGCATTCAGGCCCAGCGCTGTCCTGACTTCTGTAACCTCAACACTTGAGACGGAGCAAAGGCAGCCCACCCTCTCCTGAAATTCCTCCCAGCTCTGCAGCCGTGGCCAGACCTCCGGGGTCTGTGTTCACTCACGTGTCCTTCTGGGAAGATTACAGTGACGAGTATCCACAGAGATATATAATCTGGCAGCTTTGTTGGGGGATGAGGTTGACCATAGGGAAGTCGGGGAGGTTAAGGCCGTGGCTACAGCTGTGTGGGGAGTGTTTGAAGGGGCCAGGGTCACAGGTCACAGAGGGCTGGTTTTAAAGGGCATCCATAGACAGTGCACCTGCTGCCATGCTGCCACAAACACCAAACACAGGGGGAGGTCAGTGAGATGTCATTCCATTGGGTCCATCAGTCCACCCACTCCCCATCCTCCAGCAGTCACATCTGGCTCCTTTGCAGTTCATTCTGGGGTTCTCTTCCCTGGACATTTGCTTGGGGAAAAGGCCCAAGTAACAGGATGTATCAAATGTACAGACTCCCCACCTGAGCCCTGTTCATGGCTGAGCCAGGCTCACCTGTAGGAATTCTGAAGTGCTGGCTGGATTGGGGGAGTGGGCGTTCTGAAAGGGGTCTGTCTTCATCACCCGAGCAGAGGAGAAACGTTGCCAACAGACAGTGGCACCAAATGTTGAACTGAGTGATGCCCTTAGGAGGGGAATCTTCCATCCCACCAGCAAGCCTAATTTACCGACTTGAGAGAGGCCAGGTGGTGTAGTAGTTAGGGGCCTGGGTGCTGCAGCCAGGCTGTGTGGGCTTGAATCCTGACTCTGCTACTTACTAACTGCGTGACCCTGAGCAAGTTACATCGCCTCTCTGTGCCTCGGTTTCCCCATCTGGAAAATGGGAGGTAATAAGAGTTCTTACTTCATAGCGTTGTTGTGAGGGGAGGGGGGCCCATAGAAGAGCAGGCAGTGACCTCTGCCAGGACTCCCTGCTGATCAAGGCAACACAGCAGGATTCTGGTGGTTGTCTCCTTTTCTGCCTTAGAATGAGGGGCAGAGAGGAGGTGGAGATGTGGGGCCCCAGGGAGGGGCACCCTGAAATGCTGGGCCTTTTGTCAGACACTTCTAAACTCGTGGGCTCAGGAAATGAAAATGCTATTAAACTCGGAGTTTCAAAGGCTCTTTTCCAGGATGACATCAGAAATTGATGGCTTGAAGCTGAGGTTTAGGGCGGGATGGAGGGCTCATCCCCATTCAGGAATGCACATGAGCCAGAGTGTAACACACACACACACACACACACACACACACACACACACACACTGTCCCAACCTCTGAGATTTTAGCTTAGACCTTCTGGAAACAACAATCACCAGAGAGAATGTCCTTAAGGGCAGAATTCCAGGCAGAGGGAAGACCAGAGGGACAAACACCGACACACACCCTCACACCCTCACGTTGCATGAGTACCTCAGGGCCCACTCCAATCCCAGGGAGAAGCTGCCAGGCTTTGAAAAGCAGCTTCTGCAAAGTGTCTCAAGTGCTTGAGGTACTTATAGACATTTCAGAGCATGAAAAACCCTTAAAGAAAAGAAAGCCCCCCCCACCCGCCACTTGACCAGCCCTTGAGGCCATGTCCGTTCACCATTAAGACACCTTTGGGACCTTCAAGAAAACACAGGGTTTAGGTTTTTTGTTTTTGTTTTTTTTAATGATGGATTATTTTTAATGCACTCAGACAAATCAGTTTCAAAAGAAAAAGCCGTAATGTTGACTTTATTTCACCATGGCAAATTCGTGCTCAAAGGTAAGAACCATCTTATACAAAACAATCTAAATAAATAAATAAATATAAATAAATAAATAGGAGTTGCTTCAAAGGGGATCAGAGAGTTGATGGAGAATCAGATGCAGATGTCTGCGGCCAGGACTTCCTCTTAATACCTCCTCAGCACTGTGGGGGAGGGGGAGAGGATGGTGATGGTTAGGGCGGGAGACCGAGGCAGAATCTGAGCTTCCCCTCACCATGTGTCGTCCCTGCCACCGCCCCCCATCCTCAGCTGATCTGGATGTTTGAGGCTTTAGAATAATCCATTTCTCTGGACCTCAGTTTCCTCATCAGTAAACTGAGGATTATTTTTGCCCCAGTGATCCTGCCGTCTGCCTTTGCAGCAAAAGACAGTTTAGGGGAAACTGGGAGAAAAATGTTTTGGACTCTTTCTGCTCCAAGGAGGGGCTGCCAGACAATGACTAGTCTCCACCCTAAGGTGATTCTGCCCCTTTTGATAAGAGGCAGGGAGTGGATAAAGGTGGGTGGGGACTCACGGGCATGGTAATGAATGGCATCCACACTTAATATTTCCAGAAAGGCACTCCTTGGCCCTACGGACTGTCAGCAAGAGGGAGTAATGTCCAGGGGTCCTTTTCTCAGAGTGTGGTCCCCAGAGACCTCAAACCCAGAAGTGACTCTAATGGTGGAACGCAATGGGAACGTTCCTCCCAAATGGGCGGGTGCTCACCATTGCAGCCCAGGCCACTGAGGGAGCCGATCCGGTCCAGCCTCCGCCCGAAGCAGCCCGAGTTGCGCATCATCTTGGGGCTTCGTAGTCCCCGCAGGGCCTGGAGGACGGTATTGCGGGGCCTAAGGACGCTCGCGGGCGCTGCGTCCCGGGCCTCCCAGGCTTCTGCGGGGCCACGGCCTTGCTGGACAGGCTGCAGGGTGATCCGCTCCGCCTGCAGCTCCGTGACCGAGTCTCGCAGACGGTCCAGCAGCTCCTGCGATGGGTGGGGGAGCCCGAGCCTCAGGAACCTGCGCCTGGGCCCAGCTGCCCTCGATGGCGCCAAAGTGAACCGACTGCCTTGGGTACAGGGTCCTGGCACCCAATCTGCTGCTTTCTGATTCCCTTATCACTAATTCCCAAGGGAGGGTGGGGGCCTCTTGGGACGGTAGGTGGGGACCGGTTCATTGCTGCTGCCGGCGCCCTCCAGGCGGGCCAGTTTAAGCAGTCCCACAACGCTCACCTGGCTCACCTGTCCTCCGGATGGTTCCGAGGCGGGGCCGAGGCCGCCCAGCGGGTGGGAACGAGCTCCTAGCGGCCACAGGTGTAAGAACAGGAGGAGCAGGAGTGCCCGGGGCAGCGCTGTCTGCGGGGCCATGTCGTTGGAGGGGCGGGCAGATGTCGTGGCTGCGGCTGCTGGGCTACGTCTGGCTTCACGTCTCACCTCCTGGCGGCCTGCGGGCGCTCTCCTGGATCCTCCGGTAAACGCGGCCTTTTATCCCGGGTCTGGGGGCCGGGCCGGACCTGCCATCCGGGGTTATCTCTGATTTATCGGCCGCATTCCGCCCCGCTGAGCTCAGGGAGGGGGAATGCCCCCCTTCGCGCCTGCGACTAGTACCCGCCGGGGGTGGAGGCTGGGGAGAGCAGGCCTTGTATAGAAATGGGCCTGGCCGGGGGCGGGAGCACGCGGGGGACACCAACGGGACGCCTCCCGTTTCCTCCTTCCCTGCAAAAATCCAGGGGTCTTAGTGTGGCGCTTTCCCCTTTCCCCCCACCCGCAACCATTCCTGGAGAGGGCAGGGAGAACTCCAGCGTTCTGAGCCCCGACGCAAGTGCAGGACGCACAGGGTGACTCAGAGTGAGAACAGCCCCAGCCAACACCCCACCACTGCTGCGCGTCTTCCCTCCCCGCCTGCCACTAGCACCCGCCCGCCCGCAGTAACTTTCCCCACCCAGTCTCCCGGGCCTCAGGCCGCTGTCCGTGGTTCTGATCTCTGCGAGCAAACTCAACGCCAGAGGTCTTGCTCCCTTCAACGCAGGTCTAGCCAGAAAGACAAGAGTGGGGCAGGGGCAAGAGACATCTGAGACCCCTCCCCACCTTCTCACAAGCCTCGGCACTAGGATGCTAATTCTCCAATGTCACCTGATTAAAAGCCTGGGTATGACAAGGAACTTCTGGAATGCTGACCCTGCTTCCATCCCTAAAAGGGTAGAGTTGATTTGGTTGGAATTTTGAGAGGCAAGGCCCAGGGATGAAGTCATCCAGGAATGCCTTCTATCGAATCTCCTCCAGGTGCCAACACCTCCTCTCTCCCACCAAGCCAATATATGATAGAAAAAGCAAGGATGACTGGACGATGGTTATCTATCTGGTGGGACACCAGAGGTGTGGGGAGTGCCTCCTTCATCTGATCATCCATGATCTAATTCCCACTAGCAGATGGTCTGGACCTCCCATCTGTGGTTACAAATGAGGCTCCAAAGAAAAATGACCCTAGGAAGAGACACAGCAGATTAAATCCCCCCTAAAGTGTGCATGACCCATGTCACCACCCCTTCCAGATAACTTGTGTTAACAAGCAGCAGGAGGAGGGAGCAGGGTTGTCCAGGGAGGGAGATAAGTTATGACAGAAACGGAGAAAGGGGAAGCAAAGGGCAGAAGCTGTGACCTCTAAGCAAATCTTACCTAAAAAATAGCATCTGCCAGACATGGAGTGAGAAAAATACTGTTCTTGTTCCTCATTTTTTAGATGAGGAAACTGAGCTCAGAGAAATTAATCTACTTTCTTAAAGTCACACAATTGACAAGTGGTGAAGTCTGGATTCCCACCCAGGCAGTCTGATTTCAGACCTGAAGCTTTTAATCACTGCCAGGGTGATTGCAAGGTGTTTCTACTAAAAGAAAAATTAGATTAATCTCTTGTCATCTCTGAAGTTACAGGGAGCTGTACAGTTATGACTGTGTAAGTCTGGTGGTTGTGTGTGCACAGGGAAGGATGTAAAGTACGGCTAAGATGAGCATTTTGCAGATGAAGATTGGGGAAGGGGAAGGGCTGTGTAAAGATGCCAGTCCTGGGAAGATTCTGGGGGCTGGGGCATTGGGTGTGTGTGTGTGTGTGTGTGTGTGTGCGCGCGCGTGCACGAAGAAGATTGTGATCTCACTGGGGAGACAGAGTGGCCCCAGGGGAAACAGTTAAGTGCTAAGCACTCTGACAGAGCCTCTTCCTGCCCCCAGCAGAGGGGATTGTGGGAGAAAACTTTAGGGAGGACACACAACTTAATACATCCTCCAGGGCCTTCTGTCCAGGGAAAGATGATGCATCATCAATCAGCTCCCACACCAGATTATTCCCACAAACATTTATTGAGTGCCTACTGTATGCCATGCACTTTCCACTTCTATAAATGGAGCTAATCATACCATCTATGTCACCGCACTACCATCCAAGGATTAAATGAGACGGTAGATGTAGTCAGCTGAATAACAGCCCCTCAAAGATGTCCATGTCCTAATCCCCAGAACCTGTGAGTATTTACTTTACATGGTAAAAAGGGCTTTGCAGGTGTGATTAAGTTAAGGATCTGGAGGTGGGGAGATTATCCTGGATTATCCGGGAGGACCTAATGTAGTCAGAAGGGTCCTTATAAGAGGGAGGCAGGACCGTCAGGAAGAGAGAGAAATGGAAGGATGGAAACAGGGGTCAGAGAGGAGAGAAGAAGCTACACTGCTGCTTTGAAGATAGCTTTGAAGATGAAGGAAGAGGCCACGAGCCAAGGAATGTCGTTAGCCTCTAGAAGTTGGAAAATGCAAAGAAATGGATTCTGCCCTAGCGCCTCGAGAAGGAACACAGGCCTGCCTGCTGACACCTCGCTTTTAGCCCAATGAAACAAATTTCAGGCTTCTGATCTCCAGAATTGTAAGAAAATTAATTTGTGTTATTTTAAGCCACTAAGTTTGTGGCAACTTGTTTCAGTGGCAATACGAAACTAAAACAGTGTGTGTAAATGCTGAGCACAGTGCCTGGCTCTTAGTCAGCCCTCAGTAAGGGTGGTTGTGGTGGAAGTACTGGTTTTCACCACGTCTAACCCTAGGTGCTGGGTGCTAGGTGCTGGCTGCAAAGAAAGAAAGAAGACCCTTAATTCATTCAACAAACCTTCGTTGAAGGCCTGGATTCACAGTGGTCTGGAGTCCAGACTCTGGAATCAGATTGCCTGGATTCAATCCCACCGCTGCCTTTCACCACTTCTGTGACCTCAGGCAAGTTACTTCATCTCTCTTCATGTTTTTTCATGTCTACCTCGTAGGGTTGTTATGAGGATGAAGTGGGACTGTGCAGGTAAAACTAAGCTTTCTACTAGGAGGTGGGAATACACAATGGACAAGACAAACCCCGCCTTTGAGGAGCTTACAGTGCAGGGAGAAAGAGATGCAATCACAGGCCCCCCGGGATGATGTGTCCCCCGGTACAGCAGTGAGTCCTGGTGCTCTGTTGTTACCCAACAAACACTTACTTCTCACAGGTCTGCAGATTGGGTGTCTGGTGAGGGCCCACTTCCTGGTTCACAAGTGGCTGTCTTCTCACTGTGTCCTCACCTGGTAGAAGGGACAAGGGAGCTCTCTGGGTCTCTGGATCCCTTATAAAAGAGATCCCATTCATGCGGGCTCTGCCCTCGTGACCTGATCACCTCCCAAAGGCCCCACCTCCGAATACCATCACACTGGGGGAATGGGTTTCAACATATGAATCTTGGGGGGACACAAGCATTCAGTCTACAGCACCCAGGCTCTTGGCAGAAGAACGAAGATACAGCAAAGGAGAAGTTGGGGGCAGTTAGGCCCAGTCAGGGAGCACGGCTCGGCCACAGGTGTGCTGAGCTCTCCACTCCCCCTCTGGTCTTCAGTCCAGTCCTGGGCAGCCATGGGGCAGCATGAGAGCACTGGGCACACAGGGAAAGGGGAAGGAGGAAGCAGGGAGCACTGCACAGGGAGTCAGCAGGTGGTGAGTCTCTGCCCACTGCTGACTCCCTGTGTGGCTTTGTGCAAGTTGTTTCTCTGCTCTGGGACTCTGTTTCTTCTCGTGTAGAATGAAGAAATCAGACCAGGATTTCTCCCAGGGACCACAGCTCTATTGTAGTCAGCTGCCCCTGGTTCATGGTCAGGTCTGCTTGCCAGCCCCCAGCCCCCTGTAGTACTTCCATCTTCTGTGACCCTTAGACGTCCTCCAAAAGCCAGAAACCACCTGTAGAGGGGCCGTCAGATCCTTCACAGCTGTGGCAGGCACGCGGGCACACGTGTGTGTGTGTTGCGGGTGCTTTGGAAACCAGCCTGAGTGCGTAGATATTCTCTGCCTTTGAAGTGAATCTCTAGACGCATGGTTAACAAACGGAGGTCTGAGCTCGGCAGCCTGGAAGGAAGTAGCTATTAACCCTTCCCACCCCACGTCCAGCCTCACCAGCAGCAACCGGAGCATCTGAGTGTAGTGGAGGCGGTGCTTGTGTGCTGCAGGGTAATAGTCTCCTCCCTCTCCCCCTCTCCCTCTCCCTCTCCCTCTCCCTCTCCCTCTCCCTCT